ATATCACTAAAGAGGCAGTTAAACTTAACAGTATAATTTCAGGATTTTAAACTGTAGTTAATCTATTGTTTAAGATCGAGATATTTTAACTAGTATTTCCATGTGAAATCGATGACTAATTGGCATGAATTGATTGATGTTTTTCCAAACAATCAATATGGGAACAAATGGGAAAATGTGTTTCAGAAAAGTTTTCCATTACGTAATATTTAGATTCGTGGTTTGTTTAGGAAAGGAGATCAAACGTATACTATAAGACGTTTCTTTGTAAGATTTGTATGGACGTCTGAAGATGATGGATACACCCCTTCGTAACTACTAACACAAGCAGTCTATATTTGTAAAATATACACGTGTATTATATTATTTATAAATTAAATATGTTTTTATATAATCGATACTTATAATACTTATTATAAAGCTGATGCTTTTTTTGAAGTTATACTTCTTTTGGCACGTTTGGAAAGAAATATGAGAGTATAATTTTTACGATGCGCGCGCACACCGACAGCCAAAAAGCGACATGATGAAGTTAGCTGATAACTGTTTTTCCGGTTTCCGTGAAAACTCATAAATATATTCAAAGTAGTTTCTCAAACATTCATAAATCCATATTATTTTCCTATTTATTTTTATTAATTTATCATTCCTTTTACAAACAGAGAGTTGTGACATACGGGATAAATTAATCTTTAGATTTTTTTTCTGTGACGCCAAAGTATAACTTCGTACGTGCGTACATAAATATGTACGCACACACGTTATTTAATTTTTTTTGCTTGCCTACTTTTTTAAACGCGTCAATGTCTGGGACTATCAGTCCGAATGGTTTACTTTTTGCACTTTTTAGAGTAGTATATATAATATATTATAATAATAGTAATATTATAAGGTAGGTCATAGAGTATCTAATATCACGCTTGATCCTTAGGAGCAGAATATACCTATTTAAATAAAAGAAATCTAGTACATTTTACATAAAGTACCCGGGGACCGAGCCTCTCTCGTCCTTTTTCGGAAAAACCCATAAAAATCAAGTTTTTTTCAGAAAAGACACCTAAGATTAAAAAGCATAATCAACAACCGTATCTAAATACAAAATTTGATCCAAATCATTAGGGCTATTTTCGAGATAAACAAAATAAATTTATATATATATATATATATATATATATATATATATACATATACACAATACACATATACAAGAATTGCTCATTTAATATAAGATAAAAATAGAAACACTTGCAGTTTCAAGTCAATATGACAATTAGAAGTAGGTTAAATTCATCATTAGCTATTTTTCCACCCTTAGGGGTGGTATTTTTTTTGAATTTTTAATGGGACCAATCTGGAAGTATACACTTTCAAACAACACAAACATTGTCCAAATCGGTTAATAAATGACGGAGTTCTGAGGTAACAAACATTAAAAAAAAATACTGTCGAATTGAGAACCTCCTCCTTTTTGAAGTCGGTTGAAAATGTATACATACATATGTGCAAACGCTGACAAGAGCCAGTATGAAAATAACTTGATAACGAAAGTATAGATATGACTTAATCATTATATCAACGTGCATCTATAATTGTTTGTTAAATGCTAATACTGATGTTGTTTGTTAATATTACGAAATCAGCAATAATACGCATAAGCGTATCCACATCGGTTGGATAACGAAGTCCGTTTCAGATTGCTTTCTAAAGAGCTATTCGATTTTATTTTGTTTTGGGTATTCAATATTTTCAACCGACTTCAAAAAGGAGGAGGTTTTCAATTCGACTGTATTTTTTTTTTTTTTTTTTTTTTTTTTTTTTATGTTTGTTACCTCAGAACTCCGTCATTTATTAACCGATTTGGACAATTTTTGTGTTGTTTGAAAGTGTATACTTCCAGATTGGTCCCATTTAAATTTCAAAAAAAAAATACCACCCCTAAGGGTGGAAAAATAGCTAATAATGAATTTAACCTACTTCTAATTGTCATATTGACTTGAAACTTTGCAAGTGTTTCTATTTCCATTGATAGTACAGTGGTTCGATATTGTTGACCTGATCTGATGGTAAGGCCAAGAAGGTGGATAGGTGGAACTCTTCAACGGCTAATAGTAGATACTTGAGTTTGGGCTTGTTTTGTTTGATAACACGTAAAAGAATTCTTACTTTGCTACTACTGTCTACACTAAAAAGGGAAAAATAAAAACTTTTTAACAAAAATTAAAAACCGACTTCAAACAAAAGCACTAAAAAAAAAAAATACAGTCGAATTGAGAACCTCCTCCTTTTTGAAGTCGGTTGAAAAGTAAAAAATAACTGATTGGTAGTTTTCATTTACTATACATACCTAATCAAATATTTTCGAAGTCGGTGTGCTTTGGCTAAGTAATTAAAGCCTACCTATTAAATACATACCTAATCAAATATTTTCGAAATCGGTGCCAGCTCATACAAAGCAAAGCACACTGACTTCGAAAATATTTGATTAGGTATGTATAGTAAATGAAAACTACCAATCAGTTATTTTTTACTTTTTAGTGCTTTTGTTTGAAGTCGGTTTTTAATTTTTGTTAAAAAGTTTTTATTACGTTTTAATTAGTTTAACCTACTTGCAACTAATCTATACATATAATAAAACAGTAACTTCGATATGCGTGTTTCACGCAATAAGTACTGAACCGATTTTAACTAAATTTTATATAGTGATAACTTATTACTCGGATCAACATTAAGGATACCTTTTATTATAGTAAAATCATTAATTCCCACGGAAAACACAATAACTGGTTCTATCGGGTCGTCCTTAGAAATTTACATGTCTAATGCCCGATTTCACCAACAACCCATAAGCTACCACCTACGTACGGGATCCCTAGCTTAAAAGTAAACTAGCCCCTAAATTAAATTTCGTTTTACGATCGTCTTTAAGCCCATATTTCGAGCACCTAAATTTAGGGGGCCTTTTAATATTTAGATGACCCCTAACTGTCGGTGAAACAGAAACTGTCCCCTAACAGCCCACTAACCATGCTTAGGGGATCCCTTAAACTTAGGTGACGTTGGTGAAATCGGGTGTAACGTTGGCTAAATCTTAAGAGAAACATCAAAACAATGTTCTACAAAATTGTAGGTCTTAATAAAGCCTACAGAAAAATCTTCAATAGCAAGTCTTTCTTCTAAGATAAACTCGCAATAACTTATTATTCATATCTATTTAAAACGTACCTACCTAGGGACGCACCCGAGCGAATCGAGGGTAAGGCGCCAATTGTGTAATAAATCGATAGAGGTCGATTTTAATCTACTGCTAAGTGTCGTATCGATTTGAAATCTTTATAAGTACATATGTATGTGAAATATCGATAACAAAACAGAAAATATTTTGAATACATTTTTACAGTAGCGTGATTGTTTAAGTTTGCTTATATAAAGCGAGCGTCAACTTCGTAAATTATTATTTTAATTATTTAATACTCATGCGAACTTACAGGGAGCTTACGGCTCTATGTGTATATCACATATATTTTCTTAATATATAACATACCTACATAATACATAGACATAACATTTATGCAGTTACATCTATACATATAATAAAATTGTAACTAAGCCGAATCTGTACATTAAATATTTTTTGGAAAACCTAATTGAAATAGACATTATTATCGATACAGAGGCCGAATCTAGTTTTTAGAATTTTTGTCCGTCTTTCTGTCTGTCCGTTACCGCATTACAAAAAACCACTAGAAGGATTTTGATGAAATTTGGTATGATGATAGCTGGTTATCCGGGTCAACATATAGGATACGTTTTACCGCGGGAAAATATCTAATTTCTGAGAAGAAATACAAAAACTGCAATGTAAGAGTATACTAATATGTAAAACCTAAGAATTTGGTTTCTGGTCATCTGAACGCGGGCGGAGCCGCGGGCAATGCTAGTATTAAATTAAATTCATTTCATTTTATAATATATCTTTATTCTCCAAATATAGTTTAATGAATTATTGACTAAAAATTATTAAAATTTATTAATATTTTCATTATTGTATTCTGATTGTTATTATGTATTATTATTTTTAGTTTTAACTTTAATTAATCAATTGCCAATAATATACCAATTTTGCCTTGTCACTTGTGCTCTAATTTATGTTATATTTTTAAGTGGAAACTTCGCTGGTTTATGTAATATTTATATCTGATTAATTCTAAGTATTATTGTACTGTATGTTTCCAAAATATTTTAATAATAAAAAAATAATAAAAAAATTGGAGTGGAATCAAAATAGTATATAATATGATATTTTTGGAAATTGATCATTCATTTGTTTAAATAATTTTTTTTTTTCGATTTCCAAAATCACTTAAAAGTTACTCCACTTTTGGGGGTGGAAGTTTATTTTGGAACTTATAAGATACCAACCTTGAGCTATAACTTATTCGTTAAATGAGCAAATCATGAAATCACAATTGAATCACAAGGGTTCATTATAATGAAAAAGAAGCCAAATCAGGTATGGGACTTTTTGTCATAATATTATTAGTATTACATTATAAAAATATATCATTATATTTAATATTTTATGAATGATATAAAAAAACTAATTTTCTCTATCACGAACGTGTCATCAAAGAACTTTTTAGTCGACTTTTTATTAGGAATTTATAATAGAAGAGAACATCTCTTTGAAGACAACTGTAAGACTTATAATTAATTAAAAAAGTAATATTTTATAATCATTTTTAATTGCACTTTTTCTTAACTCTAATTAGTTTTCTCATTATATAGGTATGTGAGAGACAAGAAAAAACTACACTTGATACTAGACTACGCCGTGTACTCCAATCTATTACGATTTGTTTTCGAAAGACAAAAAAGTTAGCTATGTCGCGTTCTAGCTATCCTATGAATAGAAAAACTAAACTTTACCCACATTAAAGACTGGAGTTATAAAATATTTATTATATTTAATCAAATGTAATTTATAAACTCAAGAAACTTACCTTGTGGATAGATAACTACATTGTCGCTTCGGAATGACGCCAACTCTTCGACTAACCGCTTTCCACTCCCTTCACTGGGCAACAGCTGATCGAGCGCGAGCTCCTCAACTATAATGTGCTTGTTCGACCGCTCGTATAAAAAGCCTAGGTTTTTGCTGAAACAATGGATAATATGAATAAATATATACCTACCACCTCTATTACCCAGCCCTACTATAGATATAGAACATATATTATATATATATATATATATATATAACTAAGCTGTCTGTCCATCTTCTACCTGTGTACATTTTTGTATTCATTTATACGCATTTTCTATAATAAATAGATACTTTCGAAACAAACATTATTACATCTCAATGATGGCAGATAGTATATGAAGTACAAACATATCACATATTATGTTGAGTAGATTTGTATGCTATAAATAATTTAGACGAAGTCAACAATAAAAGCGGTCGTCAGAAAATTCACGTGCACGGCATAAATAGTTCTCGAGAGGTAAAACTAATGTATGACAAAATTGTTGACCTTAAAAATGTTTTATGTAAAACTTTATAACTTTTACGGTTAGTATGGAATAGATTAAATAAAAAAAAAATAATAAAAAAAATTTTTTTTTAGGACATTAACAAACAGTACCATCTAGTTCCATGATAAGCTACGAGGCTTGTGTTATGGACACCAGATAGTTGATACACTATACATATATAAATTTTAAATACATACATATTATAAATATAAACACCCATGATACAAACATTCGGGCTCATCACACAAATGAATGCCCCAGCGGGGCTCGAACCCGCGACCGCTGGCACAGCAAGTAGCACTGCAAACTGAGCCAAACGTGTCGTCAATTATTGTCTATATATCATACTTTTGTATATAATATGTATATACAAAAGTATGATGAGTGGTTGTGGGTTGTATTATAACGTGTTTTCTCGTGGGAATGAGATAATCTTCCGCGGTAAAAAGTAGCCTATTTCACTCTCCAGTCCTCCATCTCCACACGAAAACCACGCTAATCCGTCACTCTGTTTCGACGAGAAAGAAGAACAAACAAACAAACACACTTTTACATTTATAATATTAGTATGGATTCACATTATATTAATAAAGAATAATAAAAATAAAGTTAATCGAAATTATCTAAAGTAGTAACACGTAATAAGTAATAGATTGAAATGTACTAAAATATTTTTTTTAATAATTGAAATACCGATCAAGCCTAATAAAAAGCACAAGAGCAAAAGGCTCGACCATTTACAGTTTTATTATAACAGTAATAAAAATTTAATTTTGAGTAATAAAAGTATTGTAAGGCAAGAGCTTTAAGCTCTACGAGAGTCTCGTATATCTAACGTAACAGCGTTGGTCACCGATTCTATATTAATGTGATTGATACTAATATATCAAATATGTCTGGCCTGTTTAGCTGTTATTAACCTACTTAGCCTACAGTGTTTCAAGTGAACTATAGATATTTAGATACAAAAAATTTCTGAACGTATGCAGCATCCAGAAGCCGTTTTCTCAAAGCCTGCGCTTACATTTTTTCACAGTTATTGATAATACTGCAGTATTACGTCATTGTAGAAAAAAATAAAACAACTATTTCAATGCCAAGTTTCGATACACTTTCTTAACATCTTAAATAAGTAGCAAGATCTTTGTTGAGTATAATATAATATTTATTTTAGACTAGTGATCTAGACTTGCTTCGCTCCTACCGGAAGTGAAGGTGCGCTCATATCCGGAGCATCTTTAGACAGACTGAAGGTGCAATGTAGTACTTAGTAGTGCCTATGCGAACCTATGGCGTCTCGTAAAGACGAGCATCCCGAAGGGAAGTCCCGTTAAGAGGGTATAGTGGGTATTACGGCTATGTCAGACTTATCCCATATTATAACGATTCACAATGGCAGAAGTAGGTAAAACCTTTTCCGAGAAATAAAATAATACCAAAAAAAGAACTCGCTTAGCAGATGCCACTCAGCATTCGTACATTACAATTTAAAGGGATTGGAAGAGCCTATATCACTTTTAAATCAATTAACTTCTTTGTAAGAACTCACGTTAATGTGTGATATAAGTACACACTAAGAACAACACTTTCACATATTTTATAAGATTAGCAACGAAGATTAAATGTAATTTTAAACAAAAACAAGTTCCAGTCTTTGGAATGCAAAAAGTACCCACTCATATCAAGTAGTAAAAAACATAATAATGCAGTTATACTTTCCAGTAATAACTTTTAGAATTAAACCCAAAGTATATGTAATTGTTGAGAAAATTGAACCCGCGACATTAGATTCATTACGACATTGAGTATAAATAAGTTGGAATATTTGTAATTTCTACATATAGTAATCTTTATATATATAATTCTTCTGTGAGTGTGTATGTCACTGAACTTCTCTAAAACGACTGGACCGATTTTGATGAAATTTTTTGTGTGTGTTCAAGGGGATCTGGGAATGGTTTAGATTCACAATTTGAATAATAATTTTCATCAAAAAAATTATTAATAAAAGTTTGAAATTTTCAAATTAAAGACGTGTAGACAGAACAACGTCTGTCGGGTCCGCTAGTAAGCTATAAATAATAGACGCAGGATGATTGTACTTGTAGACTGCCTTTGAAGCATAGTATTATAGAAAGACGTGTTTAAAGTAAAAATCAAAAGAATTCTTTCGAAACTTCAGTTTTCCAGTCACTGATAATAAACATTTTTTTTTGTATTCGAGCTTTTAGCTGGCAAATGTAAAAATTTGACTTCATCTTATGAAAATGAAATCTTAATCTATACACATAAATAAAATTAAAATGTCTGTTTGTAATGTCAAAACCAAAACAACAGGTTTTTACTAAATGCATATTAAAATATATACGATACTCATAAGAAAAAACAATTTTTAAAAATTTTGTATATCTGTCTGTCTGTTTGTTCCGGCTAAACTCCAAAACGGCTGGTCTGATTTTGACGGGACTTTCACTGGCAGAAAGCTGATATTATAAGGAGTAACTTAGGCTACTTTTATTTTAGAAAAGAAATTAGGGTTCCGCTCTAAAAATTAAAACGTACCTAGGGACGTACCCGAGCGAAGCGAGGCTCAGTCGCTAGTATTAATACTAAAGTCAATAGCATATTAGATATTGTGTAATATGTATGATTAATACCTACATTTTATTAGTTCTGTCCTGCAATTTCTCTTTATAAACATACTCAAACGGTATAATATATTATTTATATTGTTTTTGTGTACACATAGCCATTCCTCCAACTATCTAGCGACTTTAAATTATTATATAACCGTGTGCTGTGTGAAAAGTAGAAATAAAAAATATATCCTTCAATTTTTTTTTTTTTATACTAATCAGAATTAGTGCTTGACTACGTTCCACCTGATGGTAAGTGGTAACGCAGTCGTAGATGGTAAGTCGCACTAATTCAGTAGCCACCTATTCACTCTTGCCTTGAAGACACCCATATTATAATCGGACGAATTTTAATACACCAGTTGCAACTGTACGATAACTATCTTTCAATGAAACACGGTATTGTTTTATAAGCATGCATAGATTCAAGTTAACGATTTTTTTTATTTGTAAAAACATCTGGACACCTCTTCACTATATACACTACATATCTATACATATAATAAAATTCTAACTAAGCCGAATCTGTACATTAAATATTTTTTGGAAAATCTTATTGAAATACTTTATTATCGATACAGAATCTATAGTTTTTAGAATTTTTGTCTGTCTGTCTGTCTGTTACCGCATCACGAGAAAACTACTGGACAGAGTTTGATGAAATTTAGTATAGTGATAGCTGGTTATCCGGGTCAACATATAGAACACTTTTTACCGCGGGAAAATGTCTTATTTCTGAGAAAAAATACAAAAGTCATCTGAACGCGGGTGGAGCCGCGGGCAATGCTAGTTATAATATATATTATTTATTATACTACTTATTAGAAATCCAGCCCAAGCTCAAGTTAGCATTTATGAAATAGCGCTTTCTTTAAAAGCATATAGGTGTATATCACTTACTACAATTACATATACAAACATTTTAAAATACGTATCGTTCTTATTGGACCACTCGCACTTGACCGGTTATTCCTACTATGCCTCTTAACGCCCCTAACAGCTTCCTTATCAGATTGTCTCGAGGATTCGCTATCCGACTATCGTATCAGCAAGTGCTCATCAAGTGGTTTAGAACGGTATTATTTGCATGTTTTTCTACAACGACTTTTGCAAATTTATTACATTTTCTTTATGATACAAGTGAAAAAACTTAAAATACGAATTTACGCTTAATTCATACATTTATGTAAAAAATATGTATAATATAGCTTTAACTATATTTATAATAATTTGTTTGTTTTTATATATAAGAAGTGTATAAAGAAATATCATATAAGCAATTTTTTTAACATTGACGAATTTGAACCGACTACCTTTTATGTGTGTAGAAATCGCTACTGAAGTTTTAAACAAACTATGCGTTATCTCAGCATGACGTTTACTTAAAACGACCGTCGTCGGTAGACTGATATATTAAACGTACGACCGATAACAATATGTGACATTGAAAACTAATTAATGAAATTAAATCTATTATAATTATAGCATAAAAATATTATTTAAATAGATCCATCTAAATGATTGTTGTAAAGCATTCGAAACGTCAGGAACCAAAAATCAAAATAAATCCGCGAAAAGCTCCCAAAAGATTTGAAGAGTCAAATATTCGCGTCAATCTAAATAGAGTATTATATAAATATTATTTATAAATATTTACCATACATTTGTACTTTGCTGTAATATAACAATAAAAAAGCAGTCATGAGGACTGCCGACAGAAGTGAAAACTTAAAACTATAAACAAACAGTTGTTATTTTTGGATATTTAAATTAATTGTTTGATCTTAAATTAAATTTTGTGAATTAAAACTGTTCACATTTATCTGGTTTTGACATCTATCGGCGCTCTGAGTGTTAGCGTTAACACATCACGTGACCATGGCGATGACGACTTACATGAATTTACTCCCCATCCCAAAACGCTTAAAGAAGTTTTTACTAAAATCTTTCATGTGCATACATCAATCACTTGGACTGTCTGACCTAGTAACCTTGGCTCGTGTCAATACCAACAGCCAACAGTCCGACCCAAACTGTGATTGAATCAAATCGTAAAGTATTGAGAACGATATTTAGCTCAAAGCTATGGCCACTTAGATCTTTCTAGAGCTGCTATTCTATTTTTGTAGAAGGGGAGCTACACCGACTTTTATGCACAATTTCTCAATCGTTATGGTCGTCAAGTTTTGATGATAATATGTATACAGTATGTATTAAGCCGTCTTAACGTCCCTCTGCTGGGCATGGGCCTCCCCTTAATATGAGGGGGATCAGGTCATAATCTACCACGCTGTCTAAGTGCGGGTTGGCGGACTTCACATGTCTTTCGAAAACTTTGCTAGGTTCTCTCAGACATGCAGGTTTGCTCTCTATTTTTTCCTTCACCGTAAGACAAGTGATAATCTAGTCCTCAATCATCATCATGAAAATGATCCGCACTTGAAAATATCAGAGGTACGAAACCCTGGATTTGAACCTGCTTGTCTAGGTTTTCCAAGCGAGCGCGTTACCACTACGTTACCACTGCCTCATGTATGTGTAAAGTATAAATAATAAAGTTACATTATATTATAAACGCTAACAATAAATAAAATATATGACTAAAACATGATAGAAGTCCATAATTCTGATTTACTTGGCAGGGAACAAAGAAATCTATATATATAAAAGAAAGTCGTGTTAGTTACTTCGCTTATAACTCAAGAACGGCTGAACCGATTTAGCTGAAAATTGGCAGGGAGGTAGTTTAGAGCCAGGAGAAGGACATAGGATACTTTTTATCCCGTTCGACCGCGTTCCAATTTTTATGATATTTTAATTTTTGGATTTCTCTTAGTCCGGAATAGGTAAGTATTAAAACATATAATTAAAATGTGAGAAAGAAAGATTTTTTCTTTTTATATCTATTTAAAACGTACCTAGCGACGAACCCGAGCGAAGCGAGGGTGAGCCGCTAGTTCTCTCTAAAAAAATGTCTATACGACATTTTCTAATTAAAATAGCCTTTAAAATCACTTTGGTATATAAATGTAAAAGATCCCATAAAAAGATTTTAAAACATAAACACTTTAACAATAATATATTTTCTTTTACTTTTGAATTTCAGGAAATTTAGAGTAACTACGCTATTACGTTTAACTACAAACAATATAAAGCACTTAGTTATATAGTATTGTTATTTTATCGACACTTTTATTGAAAGAAAATGAAAAAGGTATTTTTTTTAACAATTTGGTACGTAATGAAATTATAAAAAGGAGGTAGATGTACGAGTATGTCATAATCATGCACCAAGAATTGTTATTTTAACTTAACTAGAATAAGTTTTATCTTTTACTACTTAAAATACAGAAAGCATGGCTTCTCCAGGCTTAGTATAATCGTAGGCTAGAAGAGAAAAAGAAAAATTATTGTTTTATATTTACTTCAGTGAATTATAAAACATAAAATAACGTCATATTAAGTACTAGCATTGGCCCGCGGCTCCGCCCGCGTTCAGATGACCAAAAACCAAATTCTTAGGTTTTAGATATTAGTATACTCTTACATTACAGTTTTAGTATTTTTTTTTCAGAAATAAGACATTTTCCTGCGGTAAAAAGTATCCTATATGTTAACCTGGATAACCAGCTGTCATCATACCAAATTTCATGAAAATCCCTCCAGCGGTTTTTCTGTGCTGCGGTAGTTTATAATATGTATGTATTTAAAGTTATATATGCGTAGTGTATCAACTATCTGGTATCCATAACACACACCTCGTAGCTTACCATGGAACTAGAAAGTGTTAATGTCCCAACATATTTATTTATTATTTATAACTAGGCTAGAAGTTGGTGAGATATTTTAAAAATTAGGAAAGAAAAGAATATTTTAAAATTTTATCAGTACATTAGTACTTCGATGTCAAGCTCGTCGTAACTGTTCGAGTATTAAGCCGTAAAGGCGAGTTACGTTTTAAGCGGATTTCACGCTGTTAAATCGATATTGTCTTTCTTCGCAGAACACGTGAAAGGACACGAGGAGAAAATTGCAATGACAAATTGAGATAACAACTGATTTTTCATTTTATATGTGGTTCGCATTATATACAGTTCGCAGATTTTAAGTATTAAATAATGAAATTCCTGTCAAAATTAGTTTTGCAGTTTGCTGCAACAGATAAAGCATCTTACTTATCCTCGGGTGTATCCCTAGATACGCGGATTATGTTCGCAATTTCATGGGTTTTAATTTATTTGCACGGAACACTAATCCTATTTCTTAAATAAAAGTAGCCTAAGTTACTCCTTATAAGATTAGCTATTTGCCAGTGAAAGTCACATCAAAACCGGCCCATCCGTTTCGGAGATTAGCCGGAACAAATATATTTTGACATTACAAAGAGACATTTCAATTTTATTCATCTGTATAGATAAGTTTGTTTCTATTTCAGACAAATTAGCAGAGGCTTTTATTTTGTTAACAATTAAAGACACACAGGCTGTTAGGTCTTGAGCAAAGCAAGGCTGCATAACTAGTGCATAGTGTATACTTATATATCTTCTTCTACATACATTAAACATCATTATATAAACTTGAAAATGATTTTTAGGTTTACAAAAAAAATAATCCACTCACCCATTGCCATTTCCCGGTGAACAATAGTGCCAAGTGTGACTGTTACACCGCCACTCTCTAACTCTTCTTAATGCTGGAGAGTTCAACTCATCACATATCATCTGCAAAGCTCTCGCTTCTATGACATCTTGAATGGCTATTATTGATAACCTGTTATAAAAAGTAGACAAATATGCCATCAGCCTTCAGATTAATACACCTGTTTTAAAATTAATTTGCATAACATCACAAAGTGTACATTGAAATAAAAATGTAATCTATATATCTATACATATAATAAAATTCTAACCGAGTCGAATCTGTACATTCAACAGTATTTGGAAAATTTACTTATTGAAATAGTTATTATCAATACAGCGGCGGAATCTATAGTTTTAAGAATTTTTGTCTGTCTGTCTGTCTGTCTAGGAACGCATTACGAGAAAACCACTGGACAGCTTTTTGATAAAATTTGGTATGATGATAGCTGGTTATCCGAGTCAACAAATAGGATACTTTATTGCGGGAAAATATATAATCTCAAAACGTTATAATGTAACTAGGGAAGAACGAGAGAGGAGTAAGGACGAGTTTCTAGTAAAAAATAAAGCAAATAATTTGTTATGAACACTACTGTGCATGGTATATAATTTAAATTAAAATATAATAAAAATTTTTTAAGTTTTAAGAATATTATTAAAAACAAGAATTTAAGAATTAAATTATGATATAGTGATTCAAACACTTTAATAACAAAAACTTTTAAACATTGTATCTATGTATATTATAAAGATACCATATAATTAAATGATTCACTTCCTTCACAAACTAACAATAGTTTGTGACATTGTACATTATATTGTTTTAAATTACATTACAGATATTATAACAATTCTTGAGGACCTTATCCTAAGTTTAAAGGATGTATAAAATAAATATTAATTTGTGTTTAAGAATTAAAATATCAATTCTATTGTTTTATCCATTAATAGCAGCTCACCCTTGCTTCGCTCGGGTTCATCCCTACGTACGTACAGTTATAAGCCAGCATAAGCCATACAAATTTTCTTTCTTGATTTTTTCTGTTTAAATAGTTATTCTGCTATATGGGATGAAGACAAATCCAACAAAGCAAATATAAATAAATAAAAAATAATGTGCAAAATATGATAATATTAAATGTTTTTTGTATAGAGAATTAAATATTTTTTGTATAATGACCAGCACAATTACAATGTACAAATTTTTGCTTCTAAACACAAAAAAATATTTTTTCTCATTGATTTTGTATCTGATTATAAAATCTAATAATGTCTGTGTTTTTTGGACTTGCCTCACTTATCATAATTACTGAGATTATTATCGATATCTCACTTAGTAACTAAGAAATCTGACTTAATGCCGTAAGAAGCAATTATATGATAAAACTTACTTATATTCCAAAATAGTCCGGCATATGACTTCTCTGACTCCAGGATTTGTTACTTTATCTATACTAAGCTGATGAAGGTTCCATGAAGCTAGACGACAACACCTCACTCCATTTCTATCATTTGTGAATACTTCTTCAACTATAGGTCTATGAGAGTAAGCGGAAAGTAGATCTAAAATATCATTAACTGGTGCAGTTGCGAAACCATTTGGTAAATTTATAGAAAACTTGCCAGGCATAGATACAGTCTTTCTATGTGGGCTTTTGGGTGTTTTTGGTTCACTTATCATAGATTCATTTATTGAAGGATCCCTCCATCCATTGACATGGCCATTTGTCAAATGTTGTACACTCTCACTCTTTCGTAGTTCCAAACTTAAATGTTGCTTAACAGTACTCAGTCTAATAATATCCATACCTCTTACTTTTATTAAATCATCAAGAGATTTGAATGGTCCCTTCTTATTTCTGTAATCTACTATATTTGCAGCTATTTCCTGGTTTAAGCCAGGTACACATTGTAATTGGAATACACTAGATGAATTCACTGAACATAATTTGTTTTCTGAAGATGATCTAATACTATCTAATGAATATGTACAGGAGCTAGCTCTAGATATCTCTCTTTTTGAGTTTGTACATATCTCTGGTCTAAGCAACTCTAATTTCTCAGCACCAATACCTACAAAATGAAAATTTAAAAAGGTTACAAGGTTACCTGAAAGGATTGAAGTTTAAAAAGTTTTCTTGTTAGAATTTCAAAACTATATAACTACTTTTATGTTTTCTTTTTATAACATCAACAGAAAATAAAGCTATTGCGTATTTCTTTACATTTCTTCGTTATTGTTTTTGCATATACTTATTATATTCGTAAAAAACAAAGAACAAAATGATCACCTGAGACTAAAGCAAGGTCGTCGACGCGTTTAAACCTTCCAATCATTTGCCGATGTCGTACGATTTCTTGAGCCAGCTGCCTTGACACTCCTGGTAGAGTCATAAGCTGCTCCTCGGTTGCTGTGTTCACATTCATTAGTTCTGGATATTCTTCCGACGGCGGCAAACTGAATGTATGGCTTAAGTTTGATTTATTCAATTTTGATCGTCTGATAAAACTTCTAAAGGATCTCCGGCTCCCTTTACTTCGAAGAGAGCTAGAAGTTTGCCCCATATTTACACCCGCCACTTTTAAGTTTAACACAAAACTATCATAACACTAAAACAGAAAAAGATGTGTGCACTTATTTCTAGTACTATACTAATATTAGATTAGAATTTCAGCGTCACTGGTCACTTTTGTTGCTATTATTTTCACTTATCACATTATAATCTCAACGTTGCTGTAAAAAGGCCAATTTTAAAGGATTAATTCTGTTCTTATTATACTTCAGCGTCACATTGTTTTATAGCACTTCACTCCTCTGACCAATTCACTACAATGAAAATTAATGACAATTGACAATTCCATTTTGACAATAACAAATAAAAATGACGTGTATAATTATGTTCAGAAACGAAAAAGCTATTTTGTCCAATATTTTTTTTTTTTAGAAATTCAAGATTTACTTACACTATAATTAATTATATTAAGCCTTATGGTAATTACATACCTACTATTCGATATTCCATTAATATCTATAATCTTTAAACGAGCAATTCTTGTATACATATTTATTTATTTATACCGGCGATCTCATAAACGGCTCTAACGATTTCGCTGAAATTTGGTGTGGGAGTTTTCGTGGGCGAAAAATCGGTCTAGATTAGTTTTGTCTGGGAAAACGCGTGTCTTTGAGTTTTCATGTGTTTTTCTTTCGTATTATTCCACGCAAAATATGGTCGCTAATTTCGCATACTTGGCATAATAAACATCTAAGTCATGCGGCCATGTCGCAAGATTGAAATTCAAAGACCGGGTTCGAATCCCGGTCTGATACAAAGTTATTACTTTTGTTTTAAGCCAAATTAAAAATAAAATTTTGTACTTGTGGCCAAAACTCCGAGCGAAGCTCTAAGTTTTCATAGAAAAATTGGTTCTCATTTCGTGGCGACCTTCTTTCATACACGAAATTTGAATTATTTACCACCCTCCGCTCCCGGGGGTATTCATTAAAAATCTTTTTTTCAAATCTCTAACCGTTATCTCGAGGAGATAGTTTTTGTTGTCTCGAGATATAAGTATGCTATATTTGTAATTAATAAAAGATGATCGTGTTATCACTGAAGGAAACTTTTTTTAAAAATATATGTTATTTTATGTATGTATATATGTTATTTTATGCTTGTACGCCTTATCCATGTAACTAATTTTTCTTTCGGATAGTTTGAGTTTGTTTTTATACACTACCCTGCCAGGCTTGAAAGTATGTTAACTATTTTATTTAGTAAAGATTACTTAGAGATAATAATGAGTCATTTTTATTTATTACATTACTAGCAGAACCCGCGGCTTCGCTTGCGCTAAAACTACAAAAAATCTCTAAAAAGGTAGTTTCATACAAACATTCATCCCCTATTTTACCCCCTTATAGGATGAATTTCGAAAAATGCGAAAACACGCATTTATTTAATTTTATTAAATAGTATTAATACCAAGTTTCAAGTAATTCTGATCATAAATATTTTTTTGAATTGTATTATAACGTGTTTTTCTGTGGGAATTACTCGTAGATTATCTCCCGCGGTAAAAAGTAGCCTATGTCACTCTCCAGCCCTCCAACTAGCTCCACATAAAAGAATCACACCAATCCGTCTCTTCGTTTCGACGTGAAAGAAGGACAAACAAACAAACACATTTTCACATTTATAATATTAGTATGGATTAATGACCTGCCGACCGACTTCGGCCACGGCGCCAGTCTCATTGAGACTAGCAGCTTCTGCACAGGAGATATTATAGTGCAGCGTGTGAGAGAGAGCGCAGACATAAGTGCACTCTCTATTCCTGTCACTCCCATACTCCAGTGGGACGACACGAGGCACGACCGGTGAGAGTTAAGGCGCAAGACCGACGACTTTACGTCCTCTCCGAGGCCCGGGGGTGAAACACCGCCAACTTCCCAACTCCGGGCTGTTACTGAGACTTCTAAACAGAAAGACTCAATAACTAAACTTCGCCCGACCCGGGACTCGAGCCCAGACCTCTCGATGTGCAGCCGTACTCGCCAGAGATGACACCACCGAGGCAGTTGTTAGGTATTCTATTCATTTAAGTAGGTATTTAAAATTATCTAGGACAATCAGGTCTATAAAAAATAATAGCTGTTAAGGATTTGGTAAGTATAGTGCAAATAACGAAGCTTAATAGTAATAAAATCATAGACAAAATCTCAAATTTCTAAAAACCTACTCTGGACTGTGCTGGTCAATTATGATCTAAATATTTGGCATTTTAACACTTTTACCCCAATTAGGTATAAATATCAGATTAAAATTATCATATAATATACATTTTGTGTTACGTAATTCAACCTAATTTTTAATTATTTATTCAATCAGTAATCATAACGATATGAATTTTAAACAATTAACCTAGAGGTTATTAAAACTAATTAATAAAACACACAGATTGAACAGATTCCGTGCTATTTTCTTTATTTAAAATATTTATAATTATAACTTGTACAACAGTCGCCAATAAGCTTAGAAATACTATCTATAGGCTATTATCAACACTTCGTTACATCTGTAAATTTACGTACAGAGTAGAGTGTAAGTGGTACGTTAGACTTAAAAAAACAAAAACTTATTTCCAAGAAACCCAAATAGTAAGATGGAAAACATATAAAAATGTCACCAGTACGGAATGGATTATCTATATTTTAGTAATATTTTAATTTAAATATTAAAATTAATTAGTATTTATTAGTTAATTATTATCTATAATAATGAAAAATTTCGCACAAGTTTGCTTTTGAATACTAAGGCCTTTATAAGTTGGCGACTTATTTGTATCTATTGTAGTTATTTCCGCATATTTCTACATATAATTTACACACTTAATACAAACAATTTAATAATTTTAGTATGCATTCATATTTGACTAAAATTTTATTGATTTAAATTACTGCATAAACAACAAAAAGGGGTGGCTATGTATAATCTATATATACTATTGAAAGCGTATAACTATCGAATGAGAATCTATCAGTAAATCACTATGCCTTTATCAATAAATAATATGTAATAAAACAATAGAAAGACAGTGGAAGGCTTTGTGCCATTTTAGGTAGCTTTTCGATGCCGTCGTGTTCGAATTTTAAAATAGAATAGATTAAAAAATGTTAAGAAATACTGTTATCTGTAGATGTCATTTTTTTCTTCTTAATGGAATAAGAATATCAACTCATACATTATAATTAAAGATAACTTGAACTTACATATTATACGCAATACGAGGATGTTACGTGGCTAACACAAACGTGCAAATAAAAAAAATACTATTTTGTTCTATAAAATCGATATCACAGGACACAAAAAAATATGAAATATTTATAAATAATCAATGTATCATTGACTAGTTCATATAAAGAAGCGATAATCTAAATGAGCAAAATAATTTTATAAAATCGATACTATCGTAACTTAGTGTAGGTAAATACTTGTTATTATATGAAAGTTTGTCTTATTTATGCAACATAATATATCCCGGCTTATTTTAATATTCGACACGTAAGGTACATACAAATATTCATACAAATATATTGAAGATGTAAAAATATGGATAAGTTACAAAGAAAAAATTTAATCATTTATTTATTAATCTCATAGCAATCTATTGAATTACTGAAACCTATCGATATCTTTACAACATTAAATGTTAAGTCTATTTCGTTATTTTGTCATATTTTAAAATATGGTAAAGATAGATAGATATAAAGCCTTATTTCTGGCTATTTTTATAGAAAAGATTGTCATTATGTACGATAGTTTAAAAAGTAGAATATAAATTATGCACTTTAGCCACTTAACATTTATCCCTCTTTATAAAAATATACTTCTCTCTCAATTCGTCGCCATATCAATTTTCACCAAATCCTTATTTCATACAAACGAATGATTTATTAAACATTTCTATTAAGTATACGATAACTTTTAGTAATTACGTGATAATTATAATATTCAACTTACAATTTCTTACTGGGTTTGAAGAGATTTAAATAAACCTGAAGTTAGCTGCCTAGTAATAAACAGCGTTTATTGTGCTTGAACTAAACGAAAACGCCAATAGAACAAAATATAATTAGACTAAGTTAATAAGTTACACGAATACTCTGCAATGTACATATTTAACTATTAATTATTTGATGCAAACAAGCTATGCCTTGTAAAGTTTTGCGTTTTAGAATAATCAGATGTTAAGTACTTCGAATGATTTGATAATAGTGACCTTTAGTTCACTGGAGAGAGCTTTGGGCAAGAGTAAATGAAACTTCATATTATGTTATTTGATAATTTACTATAATAATAAGCACCAAACCACGTTTGGAATGTTCCATATTGCACCAAAAGTGAACATAATCCAATTAAATATTACACGCTTCATACAAACACATCATCTCACAAGGGAATATGTTAGAAAAATAAATTTCAATACAAAACATAAAGGTCACCATTAAAAAATTATTAAGTCTTATCCACTCTAATATAACCTTACGGATATCACAAGCTTTTTATTTTTATTGAAAAGATTATTGAGTAGAGTTATGTCAAATATGTGTTTAAAGATAATTTTTTAATGCTTATGTATCGGTGATGAATAGAGTGGACAGTGTGTGTTACATTTTATGGGAACTGAGCAAATGTAAATATTACATATATATTTATATATCAATTTTACCTGCCTTTGCTTCTCACTATAACGTTACACATACGTTAATTTAAATAACAAATTACTTTCAACCCTTGCATTGTATTCATTAAAAAAAAAAACTAAATAAACCGCAGGTAAATTAAACAAAACCTCCATAGTGTGAAGTTGAAAATATTAATTTTCAGAATGAAGTATCAATGTCATTATTACTACCTATTTAAAGATGACAATGATTTGTACAATATTATTTATTGTGCTTTACATCCCCTATGACTGCCAGTCTTCATAGAAGATCACAAATTTGATACGACACTTTTATATAGAATCGGATAGACTTACAAAAACCCACTTTACAACAAGTCTCGGAACCGGTTGAAAAAAACCGGTTTATTTCGGTAATGTAATGGTTAATTCATAGCCCGTTTTTTAACCGGTTAATGAAAACGAACGGTTTAGTAAACTGAAATAATAATAGTTAACGGTTATTCTTAGAGAAAGGTTGGATTTCGGTTTATGTATCCTTCTACTAAGTAATACCGTAAACAAAGACTCAATTAATGTAAACGCACAAAAACTCATTTTAACAGGTTAATTTTGATCATATAACCTCAAAAACGGCTCTCCTGGTTTTAACCGGTTAAAGAAAGTAACCGCCTTTCGGTTCGCGTCAAAGACCAAAACCGGTTTAAAAATTGAACGGGTTACCGAGCCCCGCTTTACAGACAAATCAATTTTAAATTCATTACAAAGCCTCAACTCTATATAAACATGTCTAGTAATCTCAAGACGATTTCGAATTTACCACCTTATGACGTACATAAAACATGAAACCACACGGTCTGGACTGCAGCAGACCGCCATTTTTATTAATCACGAAGTTCAAACATAAGCTAACTAAATAAATACTTAATATCAATAAAACAAGTAAAAAATTATTAATTAGGAAATGATTACAACTCGTTCCGTTCCACTGTAGTATAATGGAAATGTACCATACCATAGCTTTCTGTTAGAAAGCGACATTTTTCACATTAAAAAAAAAAGGCTGCCACGTATCAATAGACAAACTGGTATAAACGTATTTAAATATTATTTTTATATGAAAAAAATGTCGCTATCCCGTTTATTTAATACAAAACATTAATTCTTTACAAAGTACATCACACAGCTGTTAGCCTTACCGTACGTTTGCCGGAATATTTTAAAAACCGCAACTCACTTAGCCAATCTGAAGCGACGTCCCGAAAGAATCTCTTACTTAATTTCTGGAAACTTCCGAGACCAATACGGTTTTGGAATATTATCGGTTCTCGAACGTTCCTAGTTCTGCATGTCGAATGTTTCGGGGTAAAGCGACGTTGAATAAATAAAAGTCAGTTGCAACAGCAACAAGTACAAGCCAGCGGTGTTACGTGAGACGTGCGGCCCCGCGCCCGATATACTAATTATGTACCTGGAATGTTAAAATTAAATACATATATAAAACAAATATTATCACAATCGATACAGCCTTTTACAAGGAAAACTTTTCCTTGCCATGCTCTTAGATGCTTGTTACGTGTAGTTATGTTGCCCTGGTACTTGTTGTTTCAAAAGGGCTGAATACAATTATCCAGCTCTTTTGAAACAACAAGTACCAGGGCAACATAACTATACACAACGAGCATTATATATATATACCTAAAACTATCTTTGGATTTTTTCGCGGATTGATTTTGATTTTTGGTTCTCGACGTTTCGTATGCATTACAACAATCATGGTCACGGGAGAGGGTCAGGTAATGGTAAATTACGAAAAAAATTCAAATTTCAAATCACTACAGAGTATAAAACAAAGTAGCTTCCCGCTGTCTGTCTGTTCCTATGTATGCTTAGATCTTTAAAACTACGCAACGGATTTTGGTGAATTTTTTTTTAATAGATAGAGTGATTCAAGAGGAGGGTTTATATGTATAACAGATGCATATTATAGTACAGAAAAGCCGAAAAATTCAAAGATTTGTATTCCATACTAACCGTTAAAACGTAGTATTTTTTTTGTAACTCTAACAAAGTACATATATATATATATATATATATACCTGTGCGTATACGCTAGCACTCGGACGTGTTCAGGTCTAGCGGCGGGCGCTTGGCGCGCGTGAGGCGGTCGAGCTCGGCGGCGGCGTCGGAGCGCGCGGCGGCGGCGGGCGGGTCGGCGCGGCCCGGCGGCGACCCCGTCTTCTTGTACAGCAGCGAGTTGAAGAAGTTCGCGAGCACGCCCTCGTTGCCGGGCGTGTTCGGACCCATGCCGATCTTCGTGCCGTCCAGCTGGAATTGATATACACAAGTTTTGAAAATTATACGCTGTTACGACACGAGATTATAATATCGCCAATTTCTCGATTCCGAGATTTTTAGATAGAATATACCAGTAACACGTTTCAAAAAAAATTCAATAATTGTACTAAACATAAAAACCATGTAACATAATATATGAACATTTTATAACAGCTGACGCTTCAAGTTCAGGTAATTAACAATAACCGGTCAGTAACCAGTAATACCTGTGCAGTACTCAGTACTGCCTATGTACTACACAACAACAATAATAATGCCTTCCTAACCGATTTTGGCCACGGCGGCCAATCTCACTGAGACTAGAAGAGAACCGACGCAAGACCGACGGCTTCGCTTTCCGAAGCACAGGGGTAAAAACACCACCAACTTTCATTCTTAGAGAGACTTAACAAAACTTAAATATCGTAATTATTATTATTATTATTGTTATTTATTTTTTTGCATAAACTTAATGAACTATTTTACTTGTCAGCTTTGATTTATTTTATATTGTTTTAAAATTAGTTTTTTACTTAATCAGTTTTTTCTGTACAATTTTTTCCCTTATATTTTAATATTTGTTTATATTAGCAGTGCATGTAAATGAAGAAATAAAAAAAAACTTCGCCCGATCCGAGAGACGAACCCAGTACCTCCGGATGTGCTGCCGTACATGCTAGTCACTAGACCATCGAAACATTTACAGTAACACATGTACAGCAACCAGTGGCACTTGTACAGCAACCAGTAACACCTGTACAGCGACCAGCAACACCTGTACAGCGACCAGTATTACCTGTGCCGTGGTCCGCTGCGCGGTGCGAAGGGGCGAGTCAGCGCGCGGCGCGGGCGTGCCGGCCTGCAGCGCGGCGAGCTGCCGCTGCAGGAACGCTTGCTCGTCCTCCGCTGACACTTCCGCTTCACGGTGACCGCCGCTCTGTTGGTACACGCCCATTTGGGTTTGGTTATTATTATTATTATTTTTCAATTTATTTTTAACGATTAATATGGAATAGATAGATTATACAGAATCATTTTTAATCTGAAAACCTTTTGGGAATATACTATTTACATCATTACAACAACATCTGTACAAAAAAAAATTCTTAATTTTTTGTTTTCATAAAAGAATAAAAATATTTTATTGCACCTTCTAAACGGTAATAGTCCAAGCATCTGGTCAAGTAAATTAAATGAGTAAGCGCGGGTTCCTACACCCCTCCACCCCTTCCACTCCACCGGACACGCGCTTTCTTTTGCTAATGCTGGACTTTTACCGTTTAGAAGGTGCAATAAAAATATTTTTATTTTTGTAAAATTTAAGATTTTTTTTGTTCTTACAGACGTTGTAACGATGTAAATAGTATATTCCCAAAAGGTTTTCAGTAAATTAAAAAATGATCCTGTACATCCATACTAATATTATAAATGTGAAAGTGTGTTTGTTTGCCCTTCTTTCACGTCGAAACAGAGTGACGGATTGGCGTGATTTTTGATAATTGGAGGGCTGAAGAGTGATTATCTGATTCTCATGGGAAACATGTCAAACTTTCAAGCATACACACCTTCCTCGTGGCGGGCTGCACGATGACGTCTCTGTAGTAGTCGTCAGGTTTGCATGTCTGCATATTTTCATATAATATACTAATTTTCTTCATGCTATCCCAACCAGCGGGTCTGTAAGGAAATAACGTAAATGATAATTTTTTATTATTTTTTTATTTTGATTATTTTAATCTGTATCTCTATTGTTTATAGAAAACGAGATCTTAATACCATAAGTTCAATATTGTATTAACCGTTTCCCTGTCCCATGAGTCATATATGAACATTTCGATTGTTTAACTATTGTGTCTATTTTGCGGACAGTTAATCTGTTAATTTTATTTATGAAAATATTATTATAAGAAGTATAGTTGTTTTAATTCCACGTTACACATGCTCTAGTAAGTCAAAACTACAGGCGTAATCCATAACAGTGGTATAACATTAACTATAAACTTGAAAATTTTTACCTCTTTGGTCTAGTGCTGGCGTGTAAGGCTGCGAATCCAGAGGCCCTGGGTTCGAGTGTATCATAGCTAAAGGTCGAGCCAAGTGTACTTATTGAGTTTTACAAGTGTTTGTAAAAGTATTGGATAAAGTGAATAATATATATAATAATTGGAACATTAACACCAGCAGCACATCTAGTTCCATGGTAAGTACGAGACCTGTGTTATGGATACCAGATAGTTGATACAATACACATATATGTATATACAACCTTAAAATATGCATACATATTATAAATATAAACACTCAAACATTACCTCAACACACAAATGAATGCGCCCACCGGGACTCGAACCCGCGACCGCAGGCACAGCAAGTGGGGTAACTACAAACTGAGCCAAACTTGTCGTTTATTCTGATTTCATTCTATCAAGAAATTCTTAGCACGGACCAGAGCCGATAAATGTTTTAGCCTATGTGCTGTGAAGACTACATGTAGCGTCGGTCCTGCGCTGGTCTCTTACCTGTCGTGTTAAATTGTCGAAAGCAGATTTTTAGAACAAAAAGAATCTCTCGCTCTCTATGCATGTTTTCTGTACATATACTTGCGTACTTTGATATCTATCCATCAAATGGCTAATCTCAGTGAGATTGGCCATTCCCGAAATGAGCGAGGAACATATTATTTTTCATCAACTTGAATACTAGCGGAGTAATGTTCAAATACTAGTATTGGTTGAAAAAATTGTATAAACCATACAACTTACATAAGGACTGCATCCTTCTCCACAATGAGTGCTGGAGTCCTGAATGGCAGACCGTATATCCGGTGTGTGAGGTACTTGTAGAGGAGGTCACAGTTTTTATCCTCCTTCGCGCTCGTATAGAAGAGGGCGGCCCCGTATCTGAGGCAGAAACGTCTGATCCACTGCTGCATGAAGTCGAAGTGCTCATCGCGGTAATCGTGCTCCTTTTCTAACGTGCTCATGTAGTCAGTCTGCGGAGTGATCGTGTTTTAAACTTTGGACTGTCTTAAAATATGGATGGATGGTTTTTTATTTTAACATTAGGTTTTATGCATCGACCAAAAAAGTACTAGATACACAATCAGCGTCAAAAAATGTCCTCGCGGAATGAGCGTTCATTTGAAATTTAAGCGCGCTTTTAATTTTTTTTTTGTATAAAAACAACTTTGGTATTAAGGTTCAATTTTCATTGTTGAATATTTATTTCAACTAGAATAATTACCTAAACATAGTTGGTGTCAGTTTTAAGATAACTTCTACATGGGATTTGTGTATCTAGTACTTTTTTGAACAATGGTTTTATGAAATAAAGAGTTTTTTAACAAGCCTCTTTATCGACTTAAGTGTTGATCCGCGTTTTACGATGTTAAAAAATATATACTGTGTCACGCATATTAAAAAAATACTTAAAACCGCTTAAGTTATCCAAAATTGGCCATAGCAAAATCTGTAATGCAATAATTGCTCATGTATATATAAAGTACCTCCTCCTATTAGATGGAAAAAAGACTAATTATATTGAAATAATCAAGGGGTTTTTCATCTTTATGTTACCCAAACCTTAATGGGTGGTCAAAGTGTGATCATGTCATCCCCTAAAGATATGAAAAATTAATCAAATTAAAACAAACCTAAACAATTCTATATCTCAATTCCGTTAGGTCTACAGAATAATTTTCCCTGACAATGGGACGAAAGTATTGGAACGCCCAAATATTGGTAAATCTTCAATCATCATACAAGTGTTATGTAATATAGTTTTACACAAACCTTTGTAGCAACAACAACAATGTCCAATCCTAGGTTGGTTGTGAGAACAGCCTCTGGTAGGGGATTGTCTTCGTCGTCGCTTTCTAATTCGTCGGAGAGATTCCTCGACGAACGCTTCATGGGCGACGAAGCCGTCGCTTCTAGCTCGTCGCCTGGTTCCGTATACCTTTGCCATTTCTGAACTTGCTGTTTTTCGCTTTGTAGCCTTTGTTCTGCGAAAAAACATCAAATTAACTTATGCATCCATTATTATATTTTGAAGACATTATGGCAGGTACTTTGATTTAATGTGTATGAATCTCATTCTTAGGTAATAGAATCTAAAACTGACATTACTAAACTTATCTTCTAAAAGATAAAATCGTTTGCATTATCAAACTTACTCGAATATATCACTATTACCATATGGTTTTGCAATAAAGACCGTGTAACTCGAATAAAATATCTGAATCAAACTTTTATGTCGCATCGCGCGTAGAGCTTCAATGGAAAAATCCATATAGTACGGAAAAGTAATACCTACGCCTTAGAAACGACGCCCCCGCACTAAAATTGACTTGAAAACTACGAACATTGACGTGGAATTTCGAATTAATTTTGGCTAAAGCTATTGCCTATATAGTATATAGGTCTATTTACTAACACAAACATAATGAATATTATGTACAATATTAAAAATACGTCTATACATTTTCTAGAGTTCCATAGTCAAATGGCTTATACCACACTTAAGAAGATTCGTGGACCATTTAGATATACGGAACCTAAAACGCACTTTTAGCCAATTTTTTAATATTATTTTTGAAACCCAAATGGTGACAAAGTACCGTGATGGGATAAACATTTGTATTTCGTATTCTGTCATACACTGTGCACATCATTAGGGAATTGACTCATCAGTTCTAATAAAACCTGTTAACGGCTACTCTCGTTGCACGTATAATGTCCTTTTTCTACTTGCTTTGCAGTGACTAAGTGGAATGAGTGTTAATTTTATATACTTGTTATTATACTCGTATAGGAAAGTTTAATTATATATTTTAATAAATTCTATTTTTCTTATACTTGGTAGAAAAAATGTTAAATATTTTATCTTTTTTATATCTACAGTACGAGTTTATTCATGAGTTAATTGAGTGAGATTTGTTGTGTGACACGACTGCATGGGCGGCGGCAGAATTATTTCCAGGGGGGTCCATCTGCTTCTTCACATTAAACCACTTACTAATTTTTAAATGATTAACTTTATAATTTTTATTCATATTTTATTTATCGTCTATTTTTGAAATATCTAAATTTAAACTGGGATTTTTCTAAAACAATTTACTTTTTTAACTTTTTCTATATATTTTTCTACATAACAGGTGGGTGCGAGTGCACCCCCTTGCACCTTCCTCCCAGCAGTATTTAAATTACTTTGCGTAAATAAAATTATTTGAAAGACGAGTATTCGAATTTATAGAGCTGTCTTTGTTAAAATTAAATAAGTACGGCTTCGGCACACAATAACTGGATTTGACACACTTTAATTTTAGATAGATGTAAGAATTTTTACAGTCTGTTGCTTTCACGAATATATTACGTGAGTCACTTAATATGGTAGCACTTGAACAATCTTTTAATTAGTCAAAAGTTAATAAAAAATAATATTAAATCTAAAAAAATACATTTTATTAGTTATATTCAAATGAAGAGATGCGTGTTTGATCTTTATGAATTTTTATATGTTTGTTTTCTTCTAATTAATTTTAATTTTAAACGTGCCCGAAAAGGTCTCGCTACTCACAATTTTGCCTAAAATATCAACCATTTTAATAGTGTTCATACGTATGGCAATTTTGTACCTAGACAACGTTATTTATCTCAGAATCTGTAAAAGTTACCACGTTGATATTTAGGGAAATGATATTTCGGACTTTTATCTTGAATTGCCAAATTTGAAAACACGATTAGTGAAAATTTTCTCGGTAATATTTTTTTATTGAAAAACACATGTTCACATATAGCTAGTTATCTCAGAAACAGCCCACTATTTTTGTAGGATTTTTAATTTGTTAGGAAGCCTAGAAGTATTTCTGAGCGTGAATTAAAAACCGTTTTGGCGTTAAATACGTTGAGCTATCGCTCTATACTTCTCACTCACGATAGAACATTATCTTGTCATCCCGCTCCTCCGAATCCGAATCATGAGACCGCTCATGGCGCACTCTCAAGAAAAATAGCAAAGAACAAAAAAATGGAAAATAAATTCTTATTTTATTTTAATTAGCATCTCCAACAAAAGATACACACAATATACAATATTATATAAGAACAAAAAGCAAATAAGACTCACAACACGTGTGCTCCTTCACTTATAGGAGACCACAGCTTGCTCATTAATTTATTTTACGTTATAACTAAGTTTAAACTAAGAGAAAATTAACGTCTAGAAACAAATCTGAAACTATATATAGAGATACAAAAAAAAAGAAACAAATCATATTACAACACATGTAAACATTTTTACTAAAGTTACGATAAGAATTTAGTAATTCTTAAAAGAATTAAAATACAAAAGACGCAAATTGAAACCTTGCTCAATTATATCAATGAAAAATGTAAAGAAAAAAATATTTATGAACATTCATAACTCGCAAAAGAAACCGTAGGAGGCATATTTTGGTGAAGCGTGCCGTTTAGATATCTTTTGATCATTCATTGATGAAAAAGTAAACAAAAGAAATAACGAGTAATGCTATAAAATTCATACTTATTGTTAGTGATTCATGATCCTACATAAAGTAGTACGTAGCTAAGTAGAGAAACGCTCACGTTTACGAAGACGCATATCGATTTTTCGATGATTCATAAAAGAAAACTACTGCCAAATTGCATCCTCTTTAGAATAATATGACAGAATTCATAAGCTTTTTGATAATAAAATTTTGTTTATATTCGTTTTAATAGCATATGACGATAATATTATTACAAATATTTGTCACGATTTATGTTAGTTAAGTTCTAAAACTATCTATCTATCTATCTATCTATCTATCTATCTATCTATCTATCTATATATATAAAAATTAAATGTTGTTCGTTGGTAAATGCGTCAGTTGAAAATAGTGGATTTAGCTAACATGTTTTTAAATATTCATACCTATTAATCCGAAAAAAGGTTCTTTTAGGTGGATAAACTTAAACATAATAAACTATATTAAAATTTGTTTATGGGCAACATTTTGGGTCAGGCAGTGTTAAATTAAACTTTCATACAGCTATTACAGAAATGAAACACTGAAGACGTAGAATTTGACTGATATCTGTAAATATTACTAAAAAGTAAAAATTTGCATTCAACTTAATTATTATCTATTGATTAATATAGCTTTCAAACAAATTAATCTAATATATAAATATATCGTCACGGTGTTTGTGGTCGCACTCCCCCGAAACGGCTCGACCGAATTTAATGAATTGGTTTTTTTTTATATAAATATTTGGTAGGTACCTATGAGAATAGGTCGTAAAGTATTTTTAACCCTTCTACCCCCACCTCTCATTTTTTAATCGCGATTTTAGAATTTTTGTATGAAAAATACTATATAAATACTAAATCCAAAGGGTTTTTTTTGTAGATTAAACGTGGGTGTAGCCGTGGGTTCTGCTAGAATTTTTATAACTAGCTTTTCCCTTTTGTTTCACTATTGTGATAACAAAGTCACCCTAAAATTACTTTCCCCTCCAAGCTTTGTACCCTTGAAAATAAGCCCTTATATCTCATTACACATTACCTATGTACATCTTACGTCATACGGTTGAATTGATACTCGATTAATATTAAAAAAATTGTTTCATATGACCTTGTGTCACGCAAATAAATTTATAAACAGATAAACAATCACTTATTTTGGAACCAAGTACAGTCACTGTTATTTATAAATAGCCGCCCTCTCACATGGCTCTGGCCCTAATTCCCCTATCGCGTCATCATTAGTTACTTTTTACTTTTACTACTTAGTTTTTAGTCTTTACATTATATTAATATCCTGCAGGCAGTGATAGCACAGTGGTAACGCGCTCGCTTGTCAAACCGAGTGAAACGGGTTCAAATCCCGGGTCTCGCACCTCTGATATTTTCATGTGCGAATCATTTATAACATGATTACCACTTGCCTTAAGTTGAAGGAAAACATCGTGAGGAAACCGGCATGTCTGAGAGAACCTAGCAAGTTTTCGAAAAACATGTGAAGTCCGCCAACCCGCACTTGGTCAGCGTGGTGGACTATGGCCTGATCCCCTTCGTATTGAAAGGAGGCCCGTGCCCAGCAGTGGGAAAAATGTTTTTGGAAAATCTTATTCAATTGGACATTATTATCGATACAGATGCCGAATCTATGGTTTTTAGAATTTTTATCTGTCTGTCTGTAACCGTATCATGGAAAAACCACTAGAGGCATTTTGATGAACTATGATGATAGCTGGTTATCCGGGTCAACATATAGGATACTTTTTACTGCGGGAAAATATCTCATCTCTGAGAAATCTATACTAAACGTAAGTGGGATTATCTCTATGTACATTGTACAGTCAAGGGAGGTTCAACGTGATTGTAAATTATATACGTACAAGTAGTGAGCCTTACAGGATTTCCTATCAGCAATATAAAAAAAAAGTTTAGATATCAATTTCAAGTTAGAAAACGATAAACTTCCATACCAAAATGTATTTCATTATTAAGCTTTTCATAGGAATAATTAAAAAAAATGTTTTCTTTATGCTCATCTCCGTTATATGCAGAACTTTTGTGTTTATATTTACAGACCTTTAGGTCTGGTCTAAACTTTAGTTTAGGCTGTGAAATGTGAATTACTTATTACTAATTAAATGAATAAAAAAAAATCACTTAAGATTTTTCTTAGGTACATAGATTTTGATGAAAAACCGGTTGCATTATGTACACATAATTTAGCAACAGGTGAGTTTGTACATAAATAAATATTCAAATTCCATACCACTCCTTTGATTATAAAATAACATCAATAACCAATCGTGTGAAACCGCATAAAATAAACCTGTCAGTAGACCACTATATGATATTACGCGACACTGACGTAACACATGAGTCACGACAAGAAATAAACATTAACGGTGAACTTAAAATTCTATACAGTTAAGCTTTAAGCATCCGCTATCAGTGTCTTTGCACGATGATTTCAAGAATATGCTATTTTTTTTATTTTAACAGTTTTTTTATAACTCTTACTAGTTACCTGTGTATAAGTAACTAGCGACTCACCCTTGCTTCGCTTGGATTCGTCCCTAGGTTGATTCCTCATAGAAACTTTCATCCCCATTTTCACCCCCTTAAGGGATGATTTCCAGGATATTAATCTATCTATCCTATGTCCTTCCCAGGGTCTAAAGCTATCTTCTTACCAAGTTTCATCTAAATCCGTTCAGTAGTTCCAGAGATTACTTCCAACAAACAAACTCACAAACTTTACCTCTTTATAATATTAGTGTGTAAACTATCTAAAAAGTCGATTTTAACCTACTTCTTATTGTCGTATCGATTTCGAGTGAATGTAATTGTAGACAATAAAATAATTGGGTATAATCAAGCTGATTTGTAAGCAGAAGGCGAATGGTGGAACTTATCAATGGCCTCTAGTAAACCCTTTACTTTGGTCTCATTTCGTTTGTTTTGACTGAGACACATAACACTTGGTCACTTTCTATAATTATGATGCATTATTTTAGTATGGTTGTTATTAGACGTGTCACTCGTCCATTTTGTAATTATTCTTGATATAAACAATTTCGTTACAAGAAATAAATTTTATTAAATCCTTTCATCTTATATCCCCATAATATGTGCTTTAATAAAGAACCGAAGCTCTCTCGTTTAATAAAAAGTAGTCTATACATATAATAAAATTCTGAGTCGAATCTGTACAATATTTTTTTTGGAAAATCTTATTAAAAGAGTCATTATTATCAATACAGAAGCCGAATTTTTGTCTGTCTGTCTGTGATAGCATCACGCGAAAACCACTGGAGAGATTTTGATGAAATTTAGTACTTATGATGAAAGCTGGTTATCTAGGTCAACATATAGGATCTCTATCCTACATACTTTTAACTGCGAAAAAATATCTAATATGTGAGAAATCTAAAGTAAACGTTAAATCGTAAGTAGGGACGAACAGTCACTCGACTCGACAGACAAAGTGAGTCGCTTGTTATTTATATATTCAAACTACGCCATAACAAAAACGATATCTTTATATGTATCAATATTTGGTAACCTTTACCATATATATTGATTATGGAACTTATTGCGTTTTTTACTTAATCAGGGTCAGACAGTAACACTATTATCCATTCAGTCATTAAATTTTCATTACAGTGTTGCCAGAAAAACTTAATACGATATAAATATCTCTTGAATATCAAACTAGAATCCAATTAGGATGCGACATTGAGTCATGCGATGCATTAATGATGCCTTTATGCACTGCCGATGCCTGACACTGTTGTGATAACGTTTCTATATAATAATAGAATGCACGACCACATCTCTTTAATAAAATGTTATTGTAAGAGAGAATGTTGTATGACACTTAAATGTTAGTAAGTGGTAATATTTACGGTCGCGGATTCGATTCCCGCACGGGACGAATTTTTTAGTTTGTAAAATCGTCTTACTGTTCCTTTGTTTCATTTCTGGGTCTGCGGCATTTTCTTGAAAGTTTAAGGATTGTGAATTGAGAGGCTTTTTTTTCTGTTTTGATACCAATTTGTTGTAACCAGTAACTGTCTTTCCATATAAAATATTTTTAATATAATTTAAATAAATTTGATAACAAAAATATTTAAAAAAGTAATAATGATTTATGGACTTTAAAATGTATGTTAATTTTTGTATAATAATAATATAACTGTCGCAAAATTGAGTGTTCATAATTTCAAGTTAATTTGTATTGATGATTCATTCTATTTATTGTTATCAATATGAGATTGCTGATACTGAAATATTTATAGTATGTATTTCAAATTCTTTTAGAAATTTTGTGAATTAGACAATATAACATACCCACATAATAAAACAAACGTAACTTTTAAAAATCAAATACAATAAAAAGTTATAATGTACTCCTATTACTATAAATTATCAAAAAAGTGAATATTAAATTAATATAATGTTTACGAACTCCCTCTTGGTATTTTAACTTAAAAGGTAATGAAGAGAATCATAGCATTGTAAACAACATATTTGTTGAATGCGTTTAACACACACCACCACCTAGTTCCATGGTAAGCTACGAGGCTTATGTTATGGATACCAGATAGTTGATACACTACACATATATAACTTTAAATACATTCATATTATAAATATTGCTGTAGTGTTGCCTATTATGTTATCATTAAAATATCTGATTTAATCATTTACAGATTATAAATTAGTTCTACTATAACCCACATTCACTATTTTTCTTTATGAGTATTCAAAATAAACTGCAATTATAATAAAAAAAATGTAAATATTTAAAACACAATTCATTTCTCTTCTTAATGGCTTGAAAACATGCCAGTTGAGTACAGATTACTTTACCAATGTCACATAGAATGGAGAAATACAAAAGAAGATTGGTCGGGAAAATATGATTATTATATTTAAATTTGACAATTATTATTTTGAATAGATATTTGGAGAATATTATAATAGCAAACGTGAGTTACTTTCAAGCAGGAGCGAGATATTTTTTCAAAGAAATAGTTTAAGAAATTTACATAGGCTGCTTTATATCTTTGTACATTAACAGTAGAATATTACTTTTCTAAAAAAGAAATATTTAGGGATGCTATATTTTATAGATAATTATAAACTTTACAAAACTTACCAGGTGTGAGATCCAATTTATCTATATGATCGCCGAGCACAGATGCCCAACTTTGCAACTGATCTAATACACCCCATGGTGTTGTCATGGCCACAGTGAGGAGGACCAGTGTGTGTGGGAATGTTTCCTCATTTAGAGCAAACTTAAGAAGATTTGTGTGCCCTGGATCTCCATCTAGTACCCATACACTGAGTCTAGTATGGTCTGGAATAATAATTTTTGTAAATATATCTACTATATTATGAACTAAAATAGTATAAGTTAGTTAAATATATTTTTTGCAATGTATTGTTGAATTTATTATATTATGGCCTTTGATTGAATAGATGTAAATTATTAATATCAAAGTTTTATAAAAAAAATGGAACAGAAAACCATAATAATATAGTTAAACAAATTTCATTTAAATTACAGTAAAGTAAACACTAATTACATATAAAAAGTTGAAAAAAAATGTTTGTCCAATATTCAACTACAAATAAGTTTATTCAGTTGCATGTTTATGTTGTTGTATAATGATCTAAAAAATGTCTGTTGAAAAATATTAGCTAAAGGAGTAATTTTTGTTGTAAAATTCAATGTTTCCTGAGTTTTTATTGGTGGTTGATATGACATGGCACTTACCATCACGATATTCGTCTCTAACATCTATGTAAGCATATTCGAGCGCAGATCCTTTCTTAGGGTCCTCAACTCCTTGTAATTTAGCTATAAGTGTCGTTTTACCAGTCTCATTATCGCCCAACACTAACACATTCTTGTTGGAAGGAAGTTTTGTATTACCTTGGTTTTGAACTTCCTCTAGAATAGATGACCTGCAAACGCATCACTTGGTTTTGAGAAAATACTACGTACAAAAAATGTAACAGTGAACTCTCACACAAGTTCAACTTAAATGTTCGTGCAAGGTACATTCTACGACTTTTCTACAAACAAAGGTAAGACGTTGCAGCTAGGTCACATATTTCTCAGGTACGATTCTTTGACATCACGTAGGTGTGACACATTGGATACCCTATATGGATGCTGCATGTAACCCGTAAATTAACATTGAACAATTACCACAAATTATCCTTTCCATCACCGTTGTCTTTCTTTTTAGATTTAAGCCCATTAGCCTGGCCGTTTGTCTCCATTCTTCAGAAATGATAGAAGATAACAACGGCACAAGAGGCTTTTCTTTCGTTTTCGTTTCGGCTGTTCATACGTCACTCTCACAGACAGAGAACAGACTAAAAAAACTCGTGTTTAGTAAAAGTTGCTATATAAAACTAACAGATCTAACAAGATTATTTCAGCTTTTAAAATATACTACTACTACTTTGCAAATACAATCAACAAATTTATTGAACATAAAAAATATTATAAATATTAGATCTATTGCAATATATTTTTATTTATATTTCTATATGTTGAAATGAAAAAGATAATAAACTTTTGGTTATTGTCTTGAGTTTTGCCTATTCAAACTTTAGTTAAAAGAACACTAACGTGTTAATTTTATTGTTAACTAGTGACTAACCCATGTTTCGTTCGGGTTCGACCCTAGATACATTTCAACGGGTAGTATGGAATATAAAGACTATATATTATATATTTTTATATATATATCTATGTTTATATACATATATGTTCTAGCGACTCACCTTCGCGCCGCTCGGGTTCGTCCCTAGTTATTTAAAAATGGTGGGGATAGGAGGGTGAAAAATACTTTAAGGACCTATTCTCATAGCAACCACATATACAAAAAAATATCATTAAAATTGGTTAAGCCGTTTCGGAAATCGGAGAAGTATGACCACAAACAGATATTTATATATTAGATATTTGTACATAATAGGTATGAGGAATTGTTGTGGGTTGTATTACAAGGTGTTTTCCCGTGGTAATGAGATAAATTTTCCAATTTTCTGCTCAATTTTCTGAATTTATTTTATGTAATAACCTTCTACAAAGTGTTAGAAAACTTAAAATAAAATATGTATGAAATCGGTAAAGTCGATCTCAAGTTATGGCGTGACCAAATGAAATAGCATCCTTATTTATATTTTTTATAATATATATTTATATAAATTTTTTTCATATATATAGATGGCTAAGCGGGCCACTTACGTTACCGGCACAGATTACTTCGCCAATGTCACGTAGAACTCTGTAATTTGCTTCATCATATTTTCCATCTGATATTGACATTGGCGTTGACAGCTGACTGTTTGATTAGTATCTATTATTTGTGCGTTCTATTTTTTCCTAAAAACAATTTTTCTATTTAAAAGTATTGTAGGGTAGCAAATTCAATCGATATTAAATTTACATCTAATAAAACTCTGTTTAGGTGTGATAACTGATAAGTTATGTAATTGTGTCGTCGACAAATTTGTTAAGTTTGTTTATTTGAGATTGTTTTTGTTCCACATGAAATTTTATGAATCTAAGGAGATACTTAAAAGTTTTTATTTTGTATAAAGTATAAAATAATATAATAGATTGTAACATATAAGTAATTGATAGATATAAAACTTACTAAAACTATTTAACAAATATGTCTAAGAAATCTCATAGAGGTAATTTGTCTCAGGTGAGTCATTACAATTGTCTTTACATAAAGTGTTAATCTTTCTGGTAGGTGGGTTCAAATTGTTGATATGATTGTCTTGTAACTTAATATTTCTAAGAACCTAATATTGAATGATATTGTAAATATACTATTTTAATAATTGAAGTAAGTGATGTAGAATATACTAAATAAAGGTAAAAAAATACATTTTTACAGTTTGGTCTAATAGATATCCCAGATGTGGATATAGATGAACCAATGGATCTCTCAGATGATGATATTGATGTGGAAGCAGAATTGGCTGCTATTAGTGGTGGCCGCAAACCAAGACCCAAGAAACCAGCACCTGCTGCCCCATCAGACCTTGATGCTATGATTGCTGCTAGCTTAAAAGATATTCCATCAGATGAGGATGTTTCAGGTATTGTCTTAATTTATGTCAAGAAAGTGTTAATTACAAGATCAAGTAATATATGAGCTGATACTTTAAATGGTTTTCTTCATTTTTTATTGTTTTTATAATGTATAACTTATACAAAATCTACACATATATCATGAGGCTATTCATTTGATAGACAGTGAGAGAGAGAGAGAGAGAGAGAGAGAGAGAGAGAGAGAGAGAGAGAGAGAGAGAGAGAGAGAAACAAATGAAGAGATTGTCTATTCATTTGTTTGGTTAATATTCTCTGAACGTTAAGTTTCATTTTTAAAGAAATTGTATACAAGCCTAAGTTAAGAGTGTTTTATTTGTACATTCACAAATCATGTTAGTGGAGCTGTGGGCAAAGAGAATATTTGTTACCTTTGTAGTGAAGAGTATATTATCATTTGTTATTCTATTATGTTTTGTAAAATAACAGGAGATGAAGATGATCCAGACCTGCTGAATGAATTACAAGAATTGGCTATTGATGATGAATCACCTCAAGAGCGTCCCCGTACTACCCGTCCAGCACCCCCGCCTCCATCCAGCAGTGACAACAGCACAGTTAATTTATTGCAAGAGAGAATATCTAATTATACTATAGCTGAGAAAAGTGCTAAAGCAAATGGTGAAAGCAGTAGAGCTAGACGGTAATTTTGCTTTGCAATATCAAATGTATTTTGTTATAAATCTCAAAAATAGCCTTTATCGCTAATATGAAAATAAAAGTTCTTTTAAACTTTGTAGGGTGAAAGCACAAAGACACATTCTTTTTTCATATTTTTTTATAATTAAATAATAAAGTAAATATATGACAGAAAGATTTAAACACTGTTTGATAAAAGAAGTAATAATTACAATAATTTTTATTTTCTAGATTTGGTCGTGGTCTTAAAACTCTAAATGATTTGCTCAAACAAGCAAAAGCAGGAAAACCGATAAAAGAAGAAGACATTCCACCAGCAGTCAGTCTTGGGAAGCCCGATTCTCAACCTGCGTCTGAAGTTGCTCCAGTTCCACCTCCTCGATTGACTTCCATACCGACCCCAGAAGAACAGCCAACACCTCCAACACCCCCAAAACGCCAGCAACCCCCAACACCCCCCGAACCTAAAGAGCCACCCCCACCACCCCCTGCAGCTGAAGATATGGATCCCGCTAAGGCAGAAGGATTACAATTTATATTAAGTAATTGAAAATAAATAGCAAATACATGTTTATATGATATTTTTACCTTAACATTGTTGTGTCAAATTGTTGTTTTGCTAACATTAATATATAAAAACACTATGTAATGTGTATTTGTATTTTTAAATTGAATTATGTCTTTGTATATGTATGTTTTTTTAATATATATTTGCAAATATTAATTGTTTAGTTTATTACTAACCGAGCTACCACACTAATTTACCTGGAAATTTCTAGAAAGAAAGGAAGAATTTAAAGCTGCAGCATTAGCGAGTAAACATGCAGGGGATAAGGTTTTGGCATTGGAATATTTGAAGGTGGCAAAACAATTCGATATTGTAATAGATGCATACAAATCTGGACAAGATATGGATATGAGTGAACTTCCAACTCCTCAAATGATTGCTTCAGCGTTCAAAAATCAACAGAAGGAAGAGGGTCAAGTACAGAATTCTGCTGGTATGTTATTCATATTTTTTTAACACTAAAACTATACTATTTATATTCAATTGGGACTAGTAGCTCACCCTTGCGTCTCTCGGGTTCGACCCTAGGTACGTTTTAACGGTTAGGATGAAATATATAGACTATATATTTTATTGCTGCTCCGCTCCCTTGCTTCCCCCAATAAAGAATTTTTCAAATTAGATTAGCAGTTCCTGAGATTTGCGCGTTCAAACAAACAAACAAACTCTGCCTCTTTATAATAATAGTATAGATAAACCCCAATTATATTCTTCAAGGATCAACATGTCACAACCTCTTGTGCGATAGGTTGCTTAAAACATTTAAATGTTCTTTGAAATTTGGCAAGTCCAATTATAATTGAAATCGCAATACAATAAGCAGCATTAAAAATAACAAAGTTTAGAACATGGTAACTATTAATGCTCTTTCTTACTCAATTATTTTATAAATGTAGGAAACTAACAAACAATTTTGACGATTTTCTTAATATATTATTGTTATTTTTTATAGAGCCCACACCAGAATCTGCTCCTGAGCCGGCAGGATTGATAACGGCGTCTTCAATGGATGAGGCTTTGAAACAAAGGCTTGCTCATTTTCAGGTAAAACATTATATTAAACATATCATTCATAATTTAAATTCTAAAAAATAGTTGTACTCGCCTGAGAATTATTTGTTGCTTTATACCCTCATATAATATGTAGTATGGCATTAGCAAACTGTGACGTCACTTATTTGCCAACCTCACTCACTCTTTCTTGATATTGAAGTAAATAAAAATCAAATATTACAGTTAATTGTATATTTTAGGATTAGGGGTTTTGGGGTTAAAATGTAGTTTTTTTTGAGAAGTTGTGCTTAGAAATTAATACTTAATGATGTTAAGCAAATTGGTTACAATTTACAGGATGCTGTATAGAAGCTACTCTCGAGATTCTACTTAAATTACGTTGATCTATTACATCAAGAAGTAACAATTACATACTTTGCCATTTATACAATATGTAATTAATTTCATTATATCATACTAGCATTGCCCGCGGCTCCGTCTTAGGTTAATACTCTTACATTGCAGTTTTTGTATTTTTCTCAGAAATGAGATATTTTCCCGCGGTAAAAAGTATCCTATATGTTGACCCGGATAAGCAGCTATCACCATACTCATCAAAATCCCTCCAGTGGTTTTTCCGTGATGCGGTAACATACAGACAGACAGACAAAAAATTTAAAAACTGTAGATTCGGCCTCTGTATCGATAATAATGTCTATTTCAATAAGATTTTCCAAAAAAATTTAATGTACAGATTCGGCTTAGTTAGAATTTTATTATATGTATAGATGAATGCATATTTAAGATAGTCGATTTGACTGATAGACAAACAAACAAACGACATGCTGAAATAGGTGAAAGATATTTGAGCAAACAAAAAATAAAAATTAATAATACGAAAATAACAGTTTATATTGATCCCTACTTACTGTGCCTGTAGTCGCGGGTTCGAGTCCCGCTGGGGGCATTCATTTGTGTGATGAGCATGAATGTTTGTACTCCAGGCATGGATGTTTATATTTATAATATGTACGTATTTAAATTTTAAACTTATATATGTGTAGTGTATCAACTATCTGGTATTCATAACACAAGCCTCGTAGCTTACCATGGAATTAAATGTTGCTGTGTTAATGCCCCAACATATTTATTATTATTATTTAAATCAGGAGCAAGAATCGAAAGCCAAAGAGGATGGGAACACATCCAAAGCACGTCGTATGGGCAGAATAGTGAAGCAATACCAGGATGCGATCAAGATGAATGCCGCCGGCAGACCCATACCGGTGGACGAGTTGCCGACGCCCAATGGTTATGCGCCATTACCTAATGAGGTTAGTATGTTATTTGACGACATGTTTGGCTCAGTTTGTGTCACCCTACTTGCTGTGCCAGCGATGCGGGTTCAGACCCGCTGGGGATGTTTATATTTATAATATGTTTATATTTAAAGTTATATATGTGTAGTGTATTAATTATCTGGTATCCATAACACAAGCCCCGTAGCTTATCATGCAACTAGATGGCGCTGTGTTAATGTCCCAACATATTTATTATATTGAGGTTTTGTAGGTTTTGATAGAAGTTAAATTAGGTGTGAAAATATAATTTTATGCACTAACGATTATGACAGTGAAAGCAAAATCATATTTAAAATTTGTTACAAAACTTATAACAAATTCTGTAAGGTACTTTGGTGGGTTTTTGTATTTTTTGAAATCATTGGATAGTTTTGAGGGTAGGTGCTGTTCGTAACAAATATATAATAACCTTTGAGACGTCTATAACTTTAGTCTCTCCCGTGACCATGATTGCTGTACGGCATTCGAAACGTCAGAAATGAAAAATCAAAATAAATTACCGAAATAATCTGAAAAGATAGTTTTGATTAAAATTATTTATTCTTGTTTTATGTAACAGGAACACTATTAAAAACCGCATCAAAATCCGTTGCGTAGTTTTAAAGATCTAAGCGTACATAGAGTCAGACAGCGAGAAGCGACTTTCGCTTAATGATAAATAATAATTTCTTTTTCAGTCCCAACCCTCCCCTAGCAAGCCCCCCCCCGCCCCGCAGCCCTCCCCCTCCCCCTCCCGCGCACCCTCCTCCACCCCTCCACCCCCTCCCCCGCCGCGCACGCCGCCACGCGAAACGACAAGCAGCTGGCGTTGCTGCTGCACAGACAGAAGCAGTTTAAAGAGGCAGCTATAGCCGCTAAGAAGAATGGTAAGGGCTGGAATAATGTTTTTTTTCTTTCATTCATTTCTATGTTCAGTGATATATTTTAAAATTTCCGTTTAAATACTCCCATTAAAAAGATTTTTACAAGTGCCTATGTGAGATCTATTAATGCTAAGCTGCAGGCTGGTTTTGTATACTTTTCTTGTTTTTTTTTAAATATTTCATATTATATTTTAATAAAATTTTAAATATAAATGCAAGACCGACGGCTATTTGTGGTGTCTGCTGTACGGGGTTGAAAAATCGCCAACTTACCCTTCTGGTTACTAAAAAATTTTTAATAGAAAAACCTAGTAACTATACATGGTCTGACCAGGGACTCGAACCTAGGACCTCCGAATCTGCAGCCACTAGACCAACGAGTCCAGATTTATAACTAACTAACTCATTAACAAAGGTGACATAGAGCAAGCGAAGGAATACCTTCGAGCGGCGAAGGGCTTCGACTCGGTGATAGAGGCGGCGCGCGGCGGACTCCTGGTGGACTTGAAGTCCATACCACTTCTGCCATCAGCCAAGAAACAAGTTGACGACACGTAAGTTTTAGATTTAGACTAATTCATTACAATCATGAAGGGTCTATGTATGTATAGGTTTTTGGGCCTCTTAAGGTATAACGGGCCCCTGTTAAAAACAATGGTTAAAATTGTAAATTTATAAAATAACAAGATATCTATAATAACAAAAAAATAAGCCGGAAAAAATCAATTAAGAATCAAACGTTTGAATCACGTTATCTTCATTTCTTCTAGTACTATGTATCATTGTAGATTTTATAAAGACAAAATGACAATTAGTTTAGGCCTCCAAGGCCCTCTGTCGCGCTCCTCGTTACAGGAGTCCCAAATACCCCGTGAGTTATCCGCGCTCGGGCACCCGTAAAAGGGTTTCCCCACGAATAAAAAAAGTCCCCCAAAGCCCCCCCAAATTTACGGTTCGCCACAGCACTCGTGTTTTGGTAAATGGAAAGCGCATTGTAGTTAGTTGTTTTATATTATTTAATTTATAAAATACATAAAATTACTGTAGCGTTGGTTTTATTTTATTAATATACATTATCTGGATATAATCCATCTTCATCCTGAATTTTATTTGTGAGTCAGTTAGTGTTAAAAATAGTAATTATAAGACATTATTTTCTCGCGACAAAATCTATTTGTTCTATTGAGGATATTAGGGACTTACTGGACTAAGTTATGCAGGAATGGTGTAACTTTTTCTTTGTAAATTTGTCCGAAACAGTATCGTGATATAATTCGTTCAAATTCCTTTTCAGTATTGACGTTTTGTAGTTAGTAGCAGTGGTAGCCCAGTGGTAACGCGGTCGCTTGGGAAACCGAGTGAAGCGGGTTCAAATCCCGGGTCTCGCACCTCTGATATTTTCATGTGCGAATTATTTTCTAACATGATTACCACTTGCCTTACGGTGAAGGAAAACATCGTGAGGAAACCTGTATGCCTGAGAGAACTTAGCAAGTTTTCGAAAGACATGTGAAGTCCGCCAACCCGCACTTGGCCAGCGTGGTGGACTATGGCCTGATCCCTCGTATTGAAGGGAGGCCCGTGCCCAGCAGTGGGGCGTTAAAAAGGGCTGAATACATACATATATACATTGACGTTTTGTTAGTTCACTAGCGATTCACCTCCGCTCTGCTCGGGTTTGTCTCTATTTACGTTTAGTATAGATTTCTCAGAGATGAGATATTTTACCGCAGTAAAAAGTATCTTATATATTAACTAGGATAACCAGCTATCATCATACCAAATTTCATCAAAATCTGCCTAGTAGTTTTTCCGTGATACGGTCGTAGACAGACATACAAAAATTCTAATAACTATAGATTCGCTCTCTGTATCGATAATAATGTCTAATTCAATAAGATTTTCTAAAAAATATTTAATGTACAGATTCGGCTTAGTTACAATTTTATTATATGTATAGACTCGAGGTCGTGTCCTAACTAGTTTTAATAATTCCCAGCTTCGACGTGATATCGACCGAGGAATGCGTTCCGGAGGAGGACGTGTCGTCCAGTGTGTCGGACCCGGACGTGACGACGCGCCTGCACCAGCAGCTGTCCAACCAGCTGCGGCAGTGCCTCGCCCGCCGCGAGCACTGCCGGGCGATGGGCAGCGTGGCCGAGGGCAACCGCTTCGACCACCTCGCGCTCGCCGTCAAGCAGGACCTGGATGTGGTGGCTGTGGCCAAGGCGTGAGTTATTCTTATTGTTACATTTTCAAATGTTTAATTGTTATATGTATGTATGTTAGGGGAGAGGGTTTTTTGGCTTGGGGGTAGAATTTATAGGTTATATAAAATGAAATTCTTGAAATAGAAGAAAAAATATTCAACATTTTGAGGTGGGCTACTGATTTTTAAAATAATGAATTAAAATTTTTGGTTTCAATGATTGTTTTTTCGCGTAATCACCTTTGAAAACATTCACGAATATAGTCATTTTCTACTCAACTTTTTTTTCGGTCCACCCTAATGTATGTATTCAGACCTTTCTAACGTCCCATTGAGCATGGATCTCCCTTTAATCGGGGATCAGGCTATAGTCCACCACGCTGGCCAAGTGCGTGTTGGCGGACTTCACATGTCTTTCGAAAACTTGCTAGGTTCTCTCAGACGTGCAGGTTTCCTCACGATGTTTTTCTTAATCGTAACGCAAGCGGTAATCGTATTGAATGTGATTTATAGATGAGACCCGGAATTTGAACCCATTACTTCTTCTGGTTTCCCGAGCGAGAGCACTACCACTCGGCCATTTCCCTGATGTTTGACGTTTTAAATGACGCATTTTTAGGGTTTCGTTTTTTTCGGTTTTACTTTGAGTTTTTGGTCCCGTTTCAAATGTTTTATAGCAAACATGGCCACGTGAGAGAGTAAGGAAGTCGTTGCTGTGTTTTTATTATCCACTTTGTTGTAAAATATTTTTTTTTTCAAATAATTTTCAGTTTAGGCAACAACCCACCAAAATTCCATTATGAAAATCGCAAGTTCTCCATCGTTCAATGTAATACGGACCTTAACGAGAACGAGCTAGAGCTGACAATCGTACGCGGCATCGCCTACAACGTGCCCAATCCTAAGGAAGTAGATACATATGTGAAGTTCGAATTCCCCTATCCACAAGTAAGTGCTTTACAAATATTTTTTTATACATATACCTGTTAAGTGTTAATATGTCCTTAACGTGTTTCCCGATACAAACTTTTATCCCCATTTTCACCTTCTTAAGGGATGATTTTCGGAATAAAAAGTATCCTTTGTCCTTCCCAGGGTGTAAAACTATCGTCTTACCAAATTTCATCGAAATCGATTATGTCGATCCAGAGATTACCCACTGCACTAAATTTAATCAAAAAAAAAAATATATGTGCCTCGATTTAAAGTTATCCCATGATACCTGAGAGATGATCTAAGAAAGGTGGCTGGCAGTGGATGGATGCAGGCTGCCCAAGACCGGGATGGTTGGCGCTCTTTGGGGGAGGCCTTTGTTCAGCAGTGGACGGCGATAGGCTGATTGATATAATTGATATATGATACCTCATAATTTATCTTCAGGATGCCCCAGTCTCAGACAGGACCCAGTGTATAAAAGACACGAACAGCCCGCAGTACTCGGCGGTGTTCCCTCTCGCCATACAGCGCAACGCCCGCGCCTGCCTTAGAGTGTTCAAACGACATGCAATCAAGTTTGAGATATATTCTAGAGGGTAAGTTTTTATTGTTTTGTTCAATTTTCTTTCATAGGTGGATGAATGGACTGAGCAATACTCTCATGAAATTGACCACTGTCTAGAAAGAGAGAAAGCGAATGTGCGGCCATTACCTGTATTTTATTCCAATTTGAATTTATAAATGAAATACAAAAGAAAAATATTATTGAAAATTATAATATTATAATGGAATGTAAAAAGGTTATAAATATCTATCTTCATTAATCGACAGAGACAAAACGAATGTGCGGTCAGGAGTTTTCTGTATTCATATTTCATTGTATTTAGAATTGTTGAAATACAATGAACACAGAAGACTTCTGGCCGCACATTCGTTTTGTCTCTGTCGCGCTTTCTCGCCGAAACGATCTTTAACAATGTAAAACAATTTTCACTACCCCGTTACAATGTAAAACAATTTTTTATTACCTCACGCGGACCACAGAATCGAACATGTGATTTTTGTAATAGGCTACACTAATACTTTAAAAAAAACTCAGAAAAAGAAGACTTCCTCTTTAAGATGGAGAACTTAACATTCATACGATGTCTGTCTATTTTTGTTAATTTCTTTAATAATGATCTAATGATTTTATAAATTTAACAAATATTTATTATACTAGCGACTCACCCTCGCTCCGCTCGGGTTCGTCCCCGGGGTGGGGTCTGGGAGGACCACCCTTATCCTTATCACTTAGGGGTATGGAAAATAGATAGTAGCCGATTCTCAGACCTACTGAATACGCATATAAAATTTGGTAAAAATCGGTAAAGCCGTTTCGGAGGAGTACGGTAACAAACATTGTGACATGGAAATTTTATATATTAGACTAGCAGAACCCGCGGCTTCGCTCGCGCTAAAACTACATAAAAACCAAAAAAGTAGGTTTCATACAAACTTTCATCGTCTTATGGGATGAGTTTCGAAAAATGCTAAAACATGTATTTATTTAATTGTATTAAAGAGCATTAATACCAAATTTCAAGTAATTCTATCCAAAATAACTTTTGAGATAATCTCTATAGAAATAATATATGCGTGTATGGTTCTTCCCGCTTCTTGTTGCTTCTTCACGCATAAACGGCTGAACGGTTGTGAATAAAATTTGGTATATAGACAGACCATGACCTGGCGTAACACATAATATACTGTATGTAAGTTAGGTGGTGATGCTCCGTTATCACGTATCACACGATCATACAACAACTGCGTAAAGCGCATGACATCTTTGGACATTGGTTGTGATGGGCTCTCACAATTTATAAAAAAATGTGAAAAGTGTATTTTATAAGTTTTATAAGTTTTACAGTATTTTCTTAATGTAATTGTTAAGTTTAATTTAAATATTTTTATTTTATTTCTTTTTGTAATTGTATTCATTTTATTGTGTTTATTATGTGTATTTAGGCATTATAAAACACTGTTTTTTTTTGCGAATGATGTGTTCTGCTATAATTAGTAATACATTAATATAAATTAGACTATTAAAAAAATTCAATCCTCTAACTACACAAATAAACTTGAAGGTTATGTTGGTTGTTAATAAACGCACGTGTAAATTAAAAAAGATAATTTATAAAAAATATACTCACTTCGATTCCGCACTAAATTTACAAAATATATAAGTTATTTATATACACTTCAGAACTCTTCGAAAACTAATTACATTAAATATTTTAATTAGCAACTTCACTTGAATAACACAATTATAACACAAAATAACGAAATACTTTTTCAAATTGATCGTAGCACTATCTGTCGGGACAAACTAAAATTAAAATAGAATAATATTGAATGCGATGGTAGCGCCATCCGTCGAATCTGATGTAAAACATTCCAAAATCAAAAACTCCTTACAAATAAAAATTAATTAAAAAAACATCTGAATTCACAAAATTATTTATACACACTTCAAAACTCTTTAAAAAATAATTACATTTAATATTTTAATCAGCACATGAATTGAATAACAAATTTTTTTTCAAATTAATCGTAGCACCATCTGTCGGGACAAACTAAAATTGAAATAGAATAATATTGAATGCGATGATAGCGCCGTCCGCCGGATCTAATGTAAAACAATCCAAAATCAACAACTCCTTATAAATAAGAAATTAATTGAAAAAACATTTTCCAGTAGACCAAACTGTAAATCTAAACCATTCTCGAATCTCCACGAACACACACAAAAAATTTCATCAAAATTGGTCCAGTCGTTTAGGAGGAGTTCAGTCACATACACACGCACACAAGAAATATATATATTAAGATAAGCATCTCTATTCAAGCATCACATCATTCATTTCTAAATACTGGATTTAAATTAACGCTATCGGCGTAACAATTCGTATATAATCATTTTTAACGACGGAAATGCGAAGTAGCGATTTAAAAAATGTATTTGAACACTACGTCGTCTATTTACGTGTTTTTAGTATGTTTTAAAGTTTTAATAAAAAAACTAATGTTCGGGCTATAGAAAGTCTATATTATGGACAATATTTTATTAACTTTAGCTTACATGTGTCGGGGTTTCCCCTATTCCTCTCTCACTTCATCACGTCTTTTCATCATTCATTCACTCATTCTTTTCCACTCTCTCATAACATATAACCATTTTTAGCTTATTTCTAGTGCCATTCTTTTAAAAAGGAATGGATAGATTAATATCAAAATTAGTGTTGGGTATTCAAACGTTTGTATCATATCATTTAATATGCGCTCGTGTGTTAGTTTTACTTAATTATAATAACGTGTGAGAGTGTTTTGTGACAGTTTTGTTTTTCGTAGTTGGATATTTTTTCTAACTGAATTTTTACCTAATTAATATTCGACCGTGAAAGCTGTACTGCAACTTGGGTCGTTTCAGAAACGCTTGTCGCTTTCGCGTATTGTGCCTTAATACTTAAAAGGACATATCGCACCTCCGATAAAATAGGGTTAGAATTATTAAAAGAAAACTAACTATGAGTTACATATACAGAAACACAAAATATGTCATGAATATTTTCTCTAAAATTGTTACATCAACACTTATTAAATTTACTTATAGAAAAACAGATTGTCATTTGATAGTATTTTTTGTAATCTTTTCAAGTACCTATATATAATATGTATCACTTTATACTAATACTGCAAGATTAAAGAGTGTATAAGGAATCCGTGAGTTTGTTTTCGCTTTTGTGAAAATCTAGGCTTTTCGAGTTGTAACTATATTTTATTATAGGTGCGATACGCACACCTAGTTTGATAGATTCGCCGACGATCTGCGTATAATGACCGTACATATCCGGTATAGCTCTCTCGGTTAAACTATAATAATTTACCATTTAGCCTTTCTATGTGGAACAACGTGTGTGTAAATGAAATGTAATGATGCTCGTTGATTAACCCTTAATGCGTTGTTACGGTTAAGTAAACAAAGTTATACTTCTTTTGGCACGTTTGGAAAAGAATATGATAGTAAAATTTTTACAATGCACGCGTATACCGACAGCCAAAAAGCGACATGATGAAGTTATCTGAAAACTACATGATGAAGTTAGCTGCATTCCTTTTATAAACAGAGAGTTGTGACATACGGGATGAAATCTTTAGCTATTTTTGTTCTGTTACGCCAAAGAAGTATAACTTCTTACGTGTGTACATAAGTACACACACACGTTATTTTAAATCTATCCTATTAGTTTCCATATTACTTTCTTAGATTTACGCAAATATATCACATTTTAAATAAAACTATCATTTCGGTTTCTTCGGGGATTTATTCTAATTTTTGGTTTCTTTGCTATAATTTGATGTTTGCTTTTTATGGTATATATTTGCCTACCCCTTGATGACCTTATGGTATTAGATATATGAGACTATTGGTTATAGATATTTATATGTTTGGGATATCTTTTTATAATATAGAGCAGTATCGGAACATAAAAAAAATAGAAATTTTTATTTGGTACTTTTATATATATATATATATATATATATATATATATATATATATATATATATATATATATATATATTGTTAATATAACGTCTACAAGACTTTTGCTAATATGAGGTATTTTTCCAGTAACTTTTAAAGTATCTGCTATATATTAGTGCACGTATCTTATAACCATTTATATTGTATAAAATACTTATAAAACATACACAGTAGCTTGTGAACAAAAAGGTGTTATTTTTTTAAATACAACCACTACTTTCAAAATTATTATTCTTTACTAATGTACAGATTTTTAAAGAGCTTTCTTTAAACTAAAAATGTGTTTGTAATAGTTAATTTTGGATTTTTCAATGTAGATAGATAAATACTTTACTGCACACACAAAAGAAGAATACCTACAGAAGAAAAAGAAATATTACAAAAAGGCATGCAAAGGCTGTCTTATTGTTATACGCAATCTTTTACAGACTTTTCTTGAAAAGTTAGCGGAACTGTAAACATTTTTTTTATTTATAAATAGTTTATTGCACACACACAAGGATAATACATAAAATAAAAAGAAAAAGACAGACAAAAAGATAATGTAATTAACTAAATTCCAAAACTGAGTAAAGAGTTATATAGATAGATAGATAGATAGATGCTTTATTGTACACCACAAATAAATATACAAAAAGAAGATATAAACAATGGATGGTGCACAGCAGGCGGCCTTATCGCTATAAGCGATCTCTTCCAGGCAACCTTAGGGCGTAGGAGAAATTATATGAAATGGTAGGCGGTGTACTTACTACACACAATTGCATATCCTAAATACAGATATACATAAATACATACATACATACATACATATATACATACATACATTCATACACACACATACATACATACATACATAATACATACATACATACATACATACATACATATATACATACATAAATGCATAAATACAATGCATACATACATAAATGTAGATCAGATGAAAAAGTATAAAAAGTTCAATAAAAGATACTATAGAGACAAATAATATTATTTTAACTGTACCTTAAAATTATCAAAACTTTTGGCACGCCTGATGTCTATTGGAAGATTATTCCATAAGCGTGCAGCCTTTACTGCGAAGGAGTTGGTAAGGAAAGAGGAGGAGTGAGAAGGAATTTTAAGCAACAACGTTTCATTAGAGCGAAGTGGAAGAGTATGGGTATCACTCAAAAGCTGGAAACGCTCTCTAAGGTAGAAAGGAGAAGAAGGGTAGAACAGCACGCAGTAGAGAGTTATATGTATCTAAAATTTCATTTTTATAGTAATTTCTTACTTATTTTCTCACTTCTGAACGGTTTCTGTAAGAAATCTCTTAAAGTGATAAGTTATACTTTGTCAACATTCTGTTACTTTATTTTGTACAACATATATTTTATGGTACATAAATAAATAAAATAAAATAATTCTGAATCAGAACTTTAAAAAACCCTGTAAATAACACCTTTTTGTTCACATACTCGCATTGTTGCAACTTCCATGCACCATATAGTATCGTGGCACGTGTATATATATACATATTACATACATACGAGTTCATATTGCGTGTTGGGTGTGGGGCGACAGGTGTAGCTGTAGTTCGTTGTGTTGCAGCGGGTGGTTCAGCCGGGACACGCTCCTGGGGACTGCTAGCGTCAAACTCGCGCCTTTGGAGACCCAGGTCACCTTTCACGAGGCAGTCCCGGTGAGTGGTTGTTAATGGCTAAGTAACTGCCTCGGTGGTCTTGTGGCTAGAATGTATGGATACGGAGGTCCCAGGTTCGAGTCTTGAGTGAGACCAAGTTTAGTTGATGTGATTTTCTATCGAGAAATTCTCAGAAATAGCCGTTAGTTGGGTAGTTAGTAGGGTTTAGTAAAAATTAGCCTTTGATTGAATGCAAGGATATTATCAAATTGTAACATTCAGTTTGTAGTGATCCTATTTGCTGTGCCAGCGGTCGCGGGTTCGAGTCCCGCTGGGGGCATTCATTTGTGTGATGAGCACGAATGTTTGTACTCCAGTCATGGGTGTTTATATTTATAATATGTATGTATTACATGTGTATCCATAACACAAGCCTCGTGGCTTACCGTGGAACTAGATGGTGCTGTGTATTAATGTGCCAATATATTTATTTATTTATTTATTATCATGTATACAAGCGACGCGCACCTTCGCTCCACTCGAATGCGTCCCTAGTTACGTTTTAACATTTCTCAGAGATGAGATATTTTGCCGCAGTAAAAAGTCCTATATGTTGACTCGGATAACCAGCTATCATCATTCCAAATTTCGTCAAAATCTGTCCTGTGGTTTTCTCGTGATGCGTTCACAGACAAACAGACAGACAGACAGACAGACAAAAATCTAAAAACTATACATTCAGCCCCTGTATAAATAATAATGTCTATGTCTATTGAAAATATTATTAGATTTTCCAAAAATATATTTAATGTACAGATTCGACTCAGAATTTTATTATATGTATAGATTATACTTATCTGGCTTGAGCAATAATATGTTTTCTTACAGGTTATGGACGGTCGTAGACCCGCTGGGGGTTCTCTGGAAGTGAAATTACGCGTGCGTACTCCACTGGTACAACAGCAAATAGAAAACACCACACAACGATGGCTCGTCATAGACAACTAAAATTCTCTTTAGTTAACGTAAGAACATAGATTATCTATAGTCACACATGATGACCATAGAGTATAGACCATAAGCTCTATAGCATCTCGTTTTAGCTGAATGGATAAGGGATAATAGTCACCTAAACTTTTGTTGGTTGTAGTCGTCATTCTAAGTTTGCCTCGTGCAGGGCTCGAATCCATGATCTGCTCGGTTGTTTTGTGATACCACCATTTTTAATTAATAAGTAGAATATTGGTGTTATTTTATCAATAGAGTGAAATTTGCTTGTACAATATAAAAATTATAATATTAGCGACATTGTGCCTTCACTTTACTAACATATAAATTATCTAGGCTTATCTAATACTAGCAGTACCCGCGGCTTCGCCCACTTCTTAACTTCCGATCGCTGTCAAACTTCACACGATCACTTGCTGGGCTAATATGAAGATTGCCCGAACCTGCATACAGACATCAACTTATATATATATATATATATATATATATATATATATATATATATATATATATAGATTAGTGTCAAAGTCACAAAATCGCATTCTATTATTGTATTTATACATATGAATATATACTTAACTATTAGAATGGAATAGATAAACTATGTATTAGTAAATTATATATACATATGTATGATGAGTTTTATATCCCGTACTTGAGAAATAATTGATTCCCCATACAAACTTCCACCTCCCTTTTCACTTCCTTAAAGGATGATTTCCGGGATACTATCATATATATATATATATCTATGCATATTAACTGCCTCGGTGGTGTAGTGGCTAGCATGTACGGCTGCACACCCGGAGGTCCTGGGTTCGAGTCCCGGGTCGGGCCAAGTTTAGTTATTGAGTCTTTCTGTATAGTAAGTCTCAGTAACAGCCCGGAGTTGGGAAGTTGGCGGTGTTTCACCCCCGTGCCTCGGAGAGGACGTAAAGCCGTCGGTCCTGCGTCTTAACTCTCACCGGTCGTGTCGAGCGGTCGTCCCACCGGAGTATGAGAGTGATAGGAATAGAGAGTGCACGTTGTGTCTGCGCGTACACTTGTGCACTATAATATCTCCTGCGCAGTTGGCTAATCTCATTGAGATTGGCCGCCGTGGCCGGAATCGGCTAGGAGAACATCATCACATCATATATCTATACTATCCTACGATATATAAAGGGTCTCAAACTATTTTCATGCCAAATTTCATCTATTTAGATATAAGTTTTCAGCGGATTTTTAGTTTATCCATTACAAACAAACATACAAAAAAAATATTTTTCTTTTTTTATAAATGAACAGATTTATGCTGTAAATAATGCAGCTAAAATAGCAACTTTTAATGCTCATTTGATTATACAAAAATCCAAAACAAATATCATACGTAGCCATCCAACCCAAAGGCAATATTAATATTTATTTGTTTGTATCAACGTTGTATTTATAAACGATAACTGCCAACTTACAACTATATAGCATAGTATATATAAGACAAAATATATGTACATATGTATTTTTTTCACTAATAATAATAATCTTTATTGCCAAAAGAGTACACTTTAATTGTTAAATGTTAACAATATCCCTTTGTTAATATAATAATACTAGCATTGCCCGCAGCTCCGCCCGCGTTCAGATGACCAAAAACCAAATTCTTAGGTTTTACATATTAGTATACTCTTACAATACAGGTTTTGTATTTTTTCTCAGAAATGAGATATTTTCCCGCGGTAAAAAGTAGTTGTGCCTATATGTTGAGCCGGATACCCAGCTACCACCATACCAAATTCATCAAAATCGCTCGTTTTTCTGTGATGCGTTAACAGACAGACAGATAGACAGACAGACAAAAATTCTAAAAACTATAGATTCGGCCTCTGTATCGATAATAATGTTTATGTCAATAAGATTTTCCAAAAAATATCTAATGTACAGATTCGACTTAGTTACAATTTTACTATATGTATAGATAAAGGCTGGAATAAATTGTTTTCAGTTATAGTCTTGATTAAACTTACATATACGAGTATGTATGCTTGATAGAAATGATTAAATTTGCTTGTACTATTTATTATCTTAACATAAAAAAATAAATTAAAGTAGTTCCTACATTATAGGGATTATTTGGTTTGGGAAAGTTAAAAGTAGATAAGTAGGTAAATAAAGCGTGAAAGTCAAGATATGGAGTATAAAAATGTAAAGTCATGTAAACTGTACCATATGTATTACAATATACGAGACATTTTACACTGCGCAACATTTCAGACAGCCAGTTAGTGTATTTAACTCTCAGACTAAAAAATTTTAAATAGTGGAGTCTGCCAAAATAAATGTCAAAGTCAAAAATAGTAGCGTGATTTGCTGTTTATGCTACTATTCTCGATTTTGTCATACTTATCGTTTACTTTCTTTAAAGAATAAAGAAAATTTTATTAGTTAAATTAATTAAATTTTATTTTTTTTTAATTAAAAATTTTTTTAAAAAAAATATTTTTAGTTCTATGAGACACTCTATATTGTTTCTTAGTCTGAGATTTTAGTCTCCTTTGCAGAGTGACAATCGAGGAGTGTCGAATGCCGTTTTCTATTACACAGTGGGTTAAAGGCATAGCTTAAAAAGTAGCTGCTATAAAATAGCTATTTGATAAGCAATAAGCACGTTACATAATATATTAAGAATAATGTTTATACTACATATATGTAGTAAATACTTTGGGCATTATCTGAATTTTATGAAGTGTTTTGTTCCATTTTAGAGTATCTGAGAAGCAAATTTATGTTACAATTAAAATACAACATATTTTTTCTTTTATAATTATAAGAAACCAATTTCCTTTTTTTTTTAATTAAATGTAAAGATCTGTTAATAATTAAAATTAAGTGAGAGTCCTTAAAGAGGGAATATTTATTTTTTTACTTGATTGCATTGAAAATTCAAATCTAATGATAGCCTTGCAACGTTCAAGTGTAGTTGCGTTTTTATATTTGTCTATTTATCCGTTGCCATGGTAACGTATGACACAGTGTCAAATATAGTACGTCCTGCTCACTCGTACTCAGAATTGTATACTCTCTTTCTCTAACGTTATAACGTAACATAACATTATATTTTTATTTGTAACAATTTTCACTTTATTGCTTGAATTATTATTAGAATAATACTATCTAAGATTTACGCGAATATTTGATATTTTACATAAAACTATCTTTTCGGGTTTTTTTTTATCAAGATTGCTTGCTGTAAAGCGTTCGAAACGTCGAGTACCAAAAATTAAAATAAATCCGCGAAGAAATCCGAAAAGATATTTTTATTTCAAATTATTACTAGAATATTTATTAAAACTGCAAAATGGTTAATCATCTCAAGTTGTACATTTTTTTCACTGTCTCAGTACGAGGGCTAGAGATATAAAATATAAATGCTTTGTATCTATTGTAAAAAAATAATTGCAAACGTCATATTTTATTATTTTAATAACAAAGATTTGATTTTAAAGACAAGAGTACAAGTAAGAAAGGAAAGCAATATATAATATATTAAAGAAATATTTAATTTTAGTTTTTTTAAGGTTATATTCAACAGATTATAATTTGATTACATATCCTTTAAGCTGAAAAAAAATTTTTTTTTAATTATTATTTTTTTTATATATTTTTAGCCATCTGTATTTTAATAAATGTGAACTCTCATATTAATTAATCGTTCAGTAATTTAGGTAAGAAGTATAATTGCGATATATAAAAATGATAAGTACATAAAAACAATGAAACAGATAATAAAAGAAATAAATGTAAACAAAAAAAAATATTTTTGTATAAATTATGTAAATATGTAAATCATAATTCACTACAAAGCTTCAAGTGCCTGTTGATTCGTTTTATTTCTCGATGTAATTTGGATGTTCTTACGTCATAAAAATAAGTTGGAAAATAAAATAATGATAATATTCCGACGACACGACTGGCTCAGTTTGTTGTGATCCTACTTGCTGTGCCAGCGGTCGCGGGTTCGAGTCCCGCTGGGGGCGTTCATTTGTGTAGCATGAATGTTTGTACTCCAGTCATGCGTGTTTATATTTATAATATATATGTATTTAAAGTTATTTATGTGTAGTGTATCAACTATCTGGTATCAATAACACAAGCCTTGTAGCTTACCATGGAACTAGATGGTGTTAACGTCCCAACATATTTATATTTCTAAATTATGCTTCATATTTTTTAAAGCAAATAGTACAAAGTAAAGTAAAAGTAACAAGTGCTTCATCCAAAAAGGTTTAATCGTATTTAAAGCCAGTATGGACTAATAAAACCCATAAAGTTACATTATAATGACAGCCTTGATAAAAAAAAATTAAGTTGTATAAATATAGCAACCCTAATTTGATTTTTTTTAATAGCAGTTTGGTGCTATTTCTTTTTTGTTCCATGTGATTGTATAATTTTTGTGGTTTTAAGTGTTTATAATAATAATGATTTTTGGGATGCCAAATACCTTAGTTTCTCCCGTGACCATGTTTGCTGTAGAACATTCTAAACGCCGGGAATTGACAAATGTACATTTTATTAAAACTTTCATATCCATTTTCATCCCCTTAAAGGATGATTTCTGGAATAAAAGCTATCCTATGTCCTTCCCAGGGTCTCAAACTATCTTCTCACCAAATTTCATCTAAATCGATACCGTAGTTTCGGAGCTTATTCGGTACAAACAAACAAATAAACAAAGAAAATCTTTCCTCTTTATAATATTAGTATAGATAAAACTTACATTATATTATTATATGATTTAAAGTAACGTATTATTATGACGTAAGAAGAAATGGCAACGATTAATTTTAGAGTATTTTTGGTTATTTTTTATGATTGTATATTGTAGATATTATTAATTATTACCAAATATTTAATAAATGTATGGAACAGAATAGGGTTTTATTTATACAAAGTCAAAATTTCTGATATATGTGGGATCTTTACTTAACTTAATTTTTCCACAGGTCAAGTTGAGACTT